GCCGGTCGCTTGCCCACCCCACCGTTCTGTGGCACCACCGGATGGGGCACCCGTCCCTTCCACGTCTGCGCGCTATGTCTAGTCAGCGTCTTGTCCTAGGCCTCCCACGTGTCTTGCCGTCGCTGCCGCCTTCGCCTGCGCCGCCGTGTCGTCCCTGCGTCGAGGGTAGGCTGCGCGCCACCCCTCACTCCTCCTCCCTTTGTCCGGCCACCGAGCCTTTTGAGACGCTTCACTTGGACGTCTGGGGCCCAGCCCCTCGTCTAGGCCCTGAGCGTGAGCGCTACTTTCTGGTGGTCGTTGACGACTTCTCCCGCTACACCACAGTGTTCCCTCTGGCGAAGAAGTCTGAGGTGACTTCTACGCTGATCAGGTGGTTGCTCACCACCGAGAACACTCGTGGTCGTCGTGTCAGCTGTCTCCACTCCGACCGTGGGGGTGAGTTTCGCTCCGGCATTCTCGCTGGATTCTGTCGCGAGCAGGGCATTCGTCAGTCCTGGACGCTTCCAGAGTCCCCACAGCAGAATGGGGTTGCTGAGCGCCGCATAGGCCTGGTCATGGAGATCGCCCGCACCTCCCTGACTCACGCCTGTGCCCCCCATTTTCTGTGGCCCTACGCGGTCAGGTACGCCGCGCACCAGCTGAACCTCTGGCCACGTGTCTCTCGACCAGAGGCTTCACCGACCAGTCTTTGGACAGGGTCCCCTGGTGTTGCGTCGCGGTTTCGTGTCTGGGGGTGCTTGGCTCTTGTCCGCGACACCTCCGCGGACAAGCTCTCGCCTCGTGCCGTCCCCTGTGTCTTCCTTGGTTTCCCTGAGGACTCCTCTGACTTCACCTTTTACCACCCTCCCTCTCACCGGTTCTTTGACTCCCGTGACGTTCGTTTCGAGGAGTCCACTCCGTACTACGTCAGGTACCCCAGTCGAGGTCTCCCGGTTCCTCCCCCCCCTCTCTTCCTGACTGCCGTTCCCCCTCCTGCTCCCCCGGTACAGCCTCCCCCCCCTGGTCCAGCCCCGTCAGGTGTGTCCCAGGCTACCCCTCCTCCTTCGGTAGCCCCTCCGGTACAGCCTCCCTCCCCACAGTCCTCCTCGCAGCGTGCCGCTGGTGCTAGCTCTCGAGAGGTTGGTACGGCGCCTGTTCCTGTACCGGTTTCTGGTTCTGGGGGTGCTGGAGTTGGAGCTGGAGTTGGAGCTGGAGTTGGCACTGGAGTTTCTGAATCTGGGGGTGCTGGAGTTGGAGCTGGGGTTGGAGCTGGAGTTTCTGGTTCTGGAGTTGGAGCTGACCCGGTGGGTGCAGAGGACTCTTGTCGTCCGGGAGCTGGTGCTGGCCGCGCGGACACTGGGGGTGCTGCGTCTGGGGGTGAGGGTGCGCCTCCTTCGGGTTTAGGTGAGCCTGGGTCTGGAGCTGGTGTTAGTGCTGCCTCTGGGGGTGGTGCGCCTAGTTCTTCTGGGGTGGACTCTGGAGCTGCCGCTGCTTCGGCCACTACTCCACCCCCCCACCCCTACCCGACTAGGCACCAGGCTCGTGTTCGCCGTGCCCGTGACGAGCAGCTGGCGTTGGAGAGAGAGGAGAGGGAGTTACAGCGGCTGGAGGAGCAGCAGCAGCAGCTGGAGCCGCAGGAGCAGCAGCAGCAGCAGCTGGACCCGCAGGAGCAGCAGTCCCAGCAGCAGCCGCGTCCGCAGCAGCAGCAGTCGCAGCCGCAGCAGCAGCAGCCACTTCCTCCTCCTGTCTCGGGTCTTCGGATCCTTGGTCTCCCCTCCCCTTCTCCTCCCTCCTCCGCCTCTCCTCCTGTCTACGGTCCCACGTTTCCTCCTCCTGACTCCTCCCCCGCTGTTTTCCCCAGTTCTCCGCCCTTGTCCTCTTCTCCTCCGTCTCGTTCTTGGGCTACTCGTCGCTCCCCTCGTGCTCGTCCCTCGTCTCCTGTTCCCTTCACTGACCCTCGTACTGCCTTCCTTCTTTCTAGTCCACCTCGTCCGTCTCAGTCTGTGCTTCCGTCTCCTCCTGAGTCGGCCCTCACTGTGTCGCTCCCTACTCCTGTCACTGACTACTACCGCACGTACCGTCCTGTTCTCTCTCGTGTTCTCGCCTCTCTTGTTACTCACCCTCGTGCCTCTGTGTCCTCTGTGTGCGCTCTTACTGCCGCAGTTACTGACTTTGCCTCTACCCGCCGCCTTGACTACGCCACCACGCTTGTGGCTGCTCCTCCTACCAGTCCTCTGGCCGTCGGGGGTGTGTCTGCCCTTGGCCGTGACGCCCTAGAGGACAGGCAGTTTGAGCTAGAGTTCCTGGCGGCCGCTTCCCCTCATCTCTGTGCCATGCTCCTCGCCCCTGAGGGTGACCCCGACGCCCTTGACATTCCGACTCCTCGCACTTACGCTGAGGCAGTGTCAGGGCCTTGGGCCTCTCAGTGGAGAGCTGCCATGGACGCAGAGATGGCCTCCTACAGATCCACAGGCACCTACGTCGATGAGGTTCCCCCCCCTGGGGCGAACGTAGTCGACGGCATGTGGATCTACAGGGTGAAGCGGCCACCGGGATCTCCCCCGGTCTTCAAGGCGCGCTACGTGGCTAGAGGTTTCAGTCAGCGCGAGGGAGTTGACTTCTTTCAGACCTTCGCACCTACCCCGAAGATGACCACTCTTCGGGTGTTACTACACGTAGCAGCACAGAGAGACTACGAGTTACACTCTCTTGACTTCTCCACTGCTTTCCTTCAGGGCAGCCTACACGAGGAGGTCTGGTTGCGTCGTCCCTCGGCCTTCACTGGCACTTTCCCTCTTGGGACCCAGTGGAGGCTGAGGCGACCTGTTTACGGTCTTCGCCAGGCCCCTCGTGAGTGGCACGACACTCTGCGTTCTACCCTCTCTGACCTTGGGTTCCAGCCGTCTTCTGCCGACCCGTCGCTGTTCGTTCGTCGTGGCTCCACACCGTTCTTTGTTCTGGTTTACGTCGACGACCTCGTTTTCGCCACTTCGGACAGGGTTGCTTTGGCAGACGTGAAGTCCGAACTGCAGAAGAGACACACGTGCACTGATCTTGGTGAGCTGCGCCACTACCTTGGCCTGCAGATCACCAGGGACAGAGCCGCTCGCACCATTATACTCTCACATTCACACATGGTGCAGCAGGTCCTTCAGCGGTTCGGGCTTCAGCACTCCACCGTACAGCGCACACCTCTAGCTGTTGACCACAGACTCACTGGTCCCTTTCCTGACGAGCCGTTTGAGCCTAGTGGTCCCTACGCAGAGCTTGTGGGTTGCCTCATGTACCTGATGACTTGTACTCGCCCGGACCTCGCCTTCCCTCTCAGCATCCTTGCGCGCTTTGTTGCGCCAGGGAGACACCGTCCTGTTCACTGGACGGCAGCTGTGAGGGTGGCGAAGTACCTAGCGACTACATCAGGCGTGGGGCTAGTTCTTGGAGGGCAGCAGTCTGTCGTACTCACTGGTCACTGTGACTCCTCTTACGCTGACGACGCTGAGACTCACAGGTCTACTCAGGGGTACTGTTTCAGTCTGGGTTCTGGAGCTGTTTCATGGCGTTCCACGCGCTCCTCTTCTGTCTCGACCTCTACAGCTGAGGCTGAGATTTACGCTGGTGCCATGGCGGCACAGGAGTTGCGGTGGTTGACCTTCTTGCTCACTGACCTTGGTGAGCGGCCGAGCTCTGCACCGACCTTGTTTACTGACAACAAGGCGTCGATCCTCCTCTGTCGTGAGCCGCGACTGGAGAGCAGAGTGAAGCACATTCACGTCAGGTACTTTCTTCTGCGAGAGTTGCAGAGGCGTGGACAGGCTCGCTTCGAGTTCGTAGAGTCCGAGGCCAACACTGCAGACATCTTCACCAAGGCGCTTCCGCCTTGTGACCACCAGAGGTGTTGTGTGCAGTTAGGCCTTGTTGACACAGGTTCTAGTCATGCGTAGACTTGAGTTTATTGCCTGCTTCGTCTGTACATTTACTATATATACTTGTGATGTCTTGGACTGGCCTTGTGGCCACTGTTGCTTGTGCTCAGAGTGTGTGGTGACGTTGTGATCCACCCTGAGCTTTGTTTTCTTTTGGACTGGTCTTGTGACCGTACTCTTTTTGTTTTTGCTAGACACCCCTCACTTAGGCTATGGGGGTGTGTCAAATGTTGTAGCCTGTAGTGAGGTTTGTCTTAGGGGGTACAGAAGTTAGGGTTTGTCATATGTACCCCAACCAACATCAATGCAACACCCATTCCTCATTTTGACAGTCGTTTCCAGCGCCCATCTTCCCTCCCCCCCCTCCCAACGATGTGCTGTCAGTCAGTCAGCTTCACGCCGTTTCGCTTCTCCTGCGAATCGCTCGCCCTCGAGCGAGTCAAACAAGTAGGAACGGATCTGGACTCGCTGCAAAAAGGGAAATCGTTACTGTATTAATCAGGATTTAATAGTAGAATTATTGATGCGCTTATAATAAGTCAAGGTTTTACAGGGGGTGCGCTTATAATTGAGGACCGGCCATAAGCGCATTGCTCCAGATATAAGCGCATGCGCTTAACATAGGCCTGCGCTTATATCCGGGGCCATACGGTACAGTAGAAACGAGGTCTATCATAACACCCACCCCGCACAAGCTACCTGGGGGTGTACAATTATGGGGGGGTGTTTTGTCCGGGAGTATACGGTATGATGACATTTCGAAAATGTGCCCGGGGACGTGCAGAACCCGTCCGAAGGTTCACGTCAAACTCGTTTCGCGTCAAACACGCCAAAAGGTAACACCTGTTTTCGCTAATTTGTTTTCGCCAATAAATCTCCCCTCCGTCACAGGTGCGATAAACCTCGCTTTATTGGGTAACCTTTCATCCCAGGTACTGTACCCCGCAGCGTTACTGTACCTTGGCAAAAGTCTGAATTGTGCACTCGGAACTGGACAAGAAATGTTTGGAGTTCGCCCTGGGGTACAGTCAAGTTTGACTAGTGCATTGACGTAAAAATAACGAAAAAAAACGGGATTGTGCAAAGTTGGACCCGCCCTTACAGCACTTCAAACTGTTGCTTTCGGATGGGAGCAGTTGACACGACGAGAGCAGATGCTCTGAGTAGCAACAAGAGTGTGTGAACACCCAGACTCATGCACAGGATCTCCTAAGCAAACCTGCAATATCAGCTGCATCCGAGTGCCAGCACAGCCTCCTTCAAGCTTATATACAGCATTTTATACACATGTTGCTACATACAATTATGCATGTGATCCTAAAGCGCACCTCAACATGGCAACAGGCCAGGACAGTCCACCGCAGTTCCCTCAAACTCCAGATCAGTGGGATAGTAATAACAGTGTTGCTGTGTGAATCCTTCCTCACTTCACTTACCTGCCGCAGTAAACCTTGTGCGGTAGTAGTAAGAGTGCTGATAATGCTAGTGACGGGAAGACAAGAGCCAATAACCCAACAAACTCCCCCATCCTCCCCTTTCCTCCTTACGATGCAGCTCAGATGTTCAAGTCTTGAGACATGAGGCACTACCGTGCTGGTGCCCACCTAGTGCGATAGTATTAGTGCTGAAGGTACCCCCACCAGCTGCCCCGTACTCCCCTATCCTCTTATCGTACGGCCCGGATAATTGACTCGCTACCGTGCGGGAGCCCACCTTGTGCGATAGTAATAGTGCTGGCGGTGGTGATGGTGGGATGAAGGCCAAAAGCTGCCCCAGCTTCCCTTGTCCTCGTTATTGTACGGCCCAAAATAAGGCCCCGTGCTGCAGCCACCATGACCAGCACCAGAAGCAGCACCAGCGGCGCCAGCAGCAGGATTTCTCCCATGAGAATTACACCCGCACACAGCCGCAACGACTTCGAAAACAGGCGAGAGCAGGAGGTCAAAGGGGAACGGCAGTGGTGCACCGTGGTACACCCAGGAGCGAAGCGCGAAAAAGACAAGTCCCGAGAGGAGGAACGAGAGGAGGAGGAGCGCGAGGAGGAGGAGCGAGAGCGGGAGCACCAGCCTGCGTGGGTTGCGGTAGAGGGAGCGGATGCGCGGGCGGAGGGAGGGGAATCGGTGATCCAAGTGCAGGGTGAACTGATGGAGGTGGGGTTTGAAGGGGAGGTACATCTGGTGCAGGTGGTGCAGGTGTGGAGTGACGGTGGTGAGGGTGTGGGAAAGCCGGCCGGAAGAGAGGGCATCTGCTGCGTGCCAAAGCGCCGCCCACTTGCTGGAATCCTCTGGCTGCTTCAACTGAGTTGACTCGGTTGACCTGCTTGTATCAGCTCCACTCACCCCTTCTCGATTCATCCCCACTCCCTGCGCGCCTGCTTGGATCTTCTTCGCCACTTGCTGTAGCTCAAGTGAGAGGCTAGATATGTGCATCACCGAGCAAAGCAAAGCTCCCACAGAGGCGGGGCAGAGAACGTGGGCTGATTCCTCGATTACGCTGCTGCTGTTGCTGTTGTCAGGTGATTCTTCAGGTGATTCCTGCGCAGCCGATGCCTCCTCAGGTGATTTCTCAGGCAATCCTTCGGTCTCAGATGCATTGGCAGGTGCAGGTGAATCCAACTCGCCAGGTGGTTTCAGCAGAGAGGGGATGGACAAGACGGGCCACGAGGAGGGGAGGTGCAGCGAGGAGAGGAGGAAGGAACGGCAGTGGGAGAAGGTATCAGGTGAGAGGCAGTGAGTGTCAAGGAGAGCAATGGGCGGAGCGCCTTGGATGTCTGCAAGAATAAAAAGGGGCAGGTATGAATAGGAGGGAAGGACAGGGTCAGAAGGAGAGAAGGCGAACAGTAGCAGTACGAAGAGGTGATCTCTGTTGATGGAGAAAAAAAAAAAAAAAAAAAGCGACAGAAAGAACCAGCAAACCTGAGACTCAGGGGCTTACATCTAAATGCGAGACGAAGCACATCGTACTGCTCCCGGAGCTGCTTCACAAGAGCAGCAGCAGCAGCAACAGCAGCGGTAGAATCTCGCCCCACCTCCTTCCCCTCCTCCTTCTCACACCTTTTCTCTTCCCTTTCACACAGCAATAGCCGGACTTCGTTCAGGTCCGTTGCAGAGAGCACAGGCACGGCCACTGACACGAGCACTGGTGGCACTGGATTGAAAGACGAAGAAGAGGTGACACCTGCCGCTAAGGTGGCATCCGCTGATTGGCTGCTAGTCTTCAAATTGTCCACGTCAGCAGTGGCAGCAGGCAGTGGTTCGAGCCCAGACGCCAGAATATCCGCCAGCAGAAAATCAGCTGCTGCTGGGGCAAACGGCACCACCAACAAAGATGAGCTCAACTCCCCCACGGCAGGCAAAACCCCCAAAGAGCCTTCTCCTACAGCCGGCCTGAGTGGCAGAGGAGCGGGGGAGGTGGCACCTGGGGGCGATGCATCTGTGCCTGCCGGAGAAGGGGGGGTGGCACCTGCGCTGTGCAGCAGAGCGCCAGCCAGGCGCTGAGCCAGCTTCGCCTGATCGTTGCTGCTGGCGGTAGCAGCACCAGAGGCGGAGGCAGAAGAGAGATCCGCCTCGACCAGCAGCAGAACGCTCTTCGTTTTCTCCTGCTCCTGCGGTATCTCACTTCCTTCACTCTTGTCATCCTTCCCACCCTCGCTTAGAATCCCCTCGGTCCCGTCCCCTCCCTCGTTCGCAGCGTGAGAGGCGGCGTCAACGGCGTCTGGACAAGCTACGGGAGCAGCCACCGGCCCCTCTCCAGCCGTCTCCTTAGCTTCCTGCTGCTGACGGTCAGCCGTCAATTCGGCCGTCAGCTCAGCCGTCTGATCAGCTGGCTGCTGATGCGTGAGGTGGCCGTCATCTGACGTAGTCTCGGGCACGTAAGGGCGCTCCACATCCACGGGATGCGAGCCGACGTCAGTAGGAAGAAATTCAACGTCAGCAGGTGGGGATTCAACGTCAAAAAGCAGGGAGTCTCCGTCAGCAGGCGGGGAGTCGACGTCAGCAACAACACTATCGCAGAGAGCACATACGTCGCCTGAAATCTCGATTCCATCAGAAACCAGCACTCGTAATCCGTGCTCCAATCGCTCCGCATCCTTATTTTCTGACTGTTCCGTGTCCACGCCCTTCAACTGCTTTGTTTCCTCGTCTTCCAGTCGCTCCGTGTCCGAGTGTTCACTGTCTGATCCTGACGGCGACAGCGGCAGCAATTCCCAAGACGCCTCCACGCCTCCCTCGCCTTCCGCGTCTCCCTCGCGCACCCGCGGCGGCCATTTTCCTGGGAGTAAACAACGAGGGAAGAAGAAATAGAAGAAGATTTAACAAACGTACAGGGGGGTCTGGAAAATGACGCACAGTATATACAGGCTAGAAATGGACACCTACTTAAGGAACATACAATTCACAGCATGGGACCAAATAGGAAAGCACAACGCTAAATTATTCCGTAGTTTGGTTAATCTAAACTTCGTAATACGCATCGCTGAAACTCTGAAGTGAATGGACACAATAGTAGTTAACTCACCTCCACCCATGGCGCTCCGCAAGAAAATCAGAGTCGTCAACCAGCGGCTTCCACGGGTAAGCTGAGAACACGGCTAATGAAGAAGACTACGCTCACGGCTCTAACTCAGCCACCTACGCCGTGGCAGTCCAAAATGACCAGGGACTGCTGTTTCAGGGCAGGCTAAAAGGGCATGGAGCACTTAGCTTAAGACAAGGCGTGAATTAGGAGGCGCTTTGAATAAATTTCTGCTTTCAGCAGAGTGCTGTTTTGGTTAGGCGCTGTTTGTATCGTCCTTCACCCTACTGCGCCACACGAAACCGCGCACAGCCGTGCTCAACGTCCAAATTCACGCCCTCTTCGAATAGCCCAGATGCACACCACACACGCCCTCTCACCCTACACCCTGCCATGCAGCAGAAGGCAGGTCTGGTGTGGCGAACTTCGCGGGACGCTCAGTTGACCGTCGAGCGTGAGATCGGACGGTCAATCATAGGTTTGCTATCTCTCTCGAAAATATCGACGAGCGCGACATCTGGTTGTGGAGTTCGCGAAAGCTTCGGCGACCGAGTCATTGGCTCGGCGATGTCGAACCATCACTCCGTCGGGTCACCCGAGACTCACGGTGTGCCGTAATTGGCTGCATATGACGTGACTAACACGCTCGACACGGGGGCTTGCTCCAATGGATTGCGTTTCTGTTCCGTCAGCGTCGTGATTCGATACAAGACTATCCGTCAGTACATTCACTGCATTCAAGAACTTGCATTATCTTCACTTATCAACTACCACAACCTAATGATATCACAGCAAGATGCAGAACACGTGGCACCTGAGCTGTTCTCCCAAGAACGAGATAACATACACTTGGTTTTAACGGAAATAAGTGGTTACTGAGTTTTCTCAAACGTATGCCTTGGCATTGTTTTCTCTGGCATCTTTACAGCTCATGACTCATGATGATGACTCTCTACCAACAGCTTCCAGGTTATCTATGGACGTGCTCCTTGCAACATCCGCCATGTCGGTGGAGCGAGCAGAGTACTCGGCTACAAGACGCGAGAACATGGATGTCTTATCCTCCAGGAGCTTAGCCGGCTCGTCACACTCGGCTACAGTGCCTGCATGGGGCAAAGGAGGAAGTACACAAGCACACATAAGCATATGAACATCTCTGTCAAGAGAATGCACCAATGCCATGCAGAATTCACGTACAACCATACAAACGCATTGCATTAGCTCGATTTGCCATTGGAGTACTTGCAACTTGCTCCATGACCACCACTACTATGCAAGTGATAACCACGGCAATCTGATGCACAATACCTTATACACCTTCTAAGCACCTCATCATACTCTCTGGAACACAGAATAAAGAAGCTACAGCACCCACCTTGGTCCATGACGACCACTTTATTGCTGTCGATCACAGTCGCAATCCGATGCGCGATGCTGATGATGGTGGCGTCGCCAAAGCACTCCTTTATCGTCCGTTGGATCACCGCGTCGGTCGCGGAATCAACGGACGCTGTTGCCTCATCCAGCACAAGAATGCGGGTGCGCTTCAGCAAGGCCCTCCCGAGACAGAACAGCTGCCTCTGCCCCACACTCCAGTTCTCCCCTCCTTCCACCACTGGAGAGGGGGAAACGTATGAAGAGGAGGGGTTGGTGGGAGGACTGACATAAGAGGAAGACGGTGGGGTTCCCTGAAGAGAATTAAACCTTTGACTGGGCCATACCTGTCTATTTTTGGGGCGCCTTAAACAACCAAACACCTCTTGGACGATACCGGAGCAGCACCACAACCTCTTTCGAACAATGACCCCACTCCACCCTTCACAATTCCCCACTCACCTCGCACCCCCCGCTTCTATTCCATGCCACAAATCACCTCCCCCACAAAAAACACCTGCCCCCAGCTTCTCTATTCCGCACGTCATCCTTCCCCCTCTCACCTTGCGCCTCCAGCTTCTCCTCCATGCCACGAACCACCTCCCCCAGTTGGCACCTGTCCAGCGCCTCCCACAACCAGGATTCACCCATACTGTTCTGTTCTCCCCCCCAACCACACTGTTACAACCCTCACCTTGTGCTTCCAGTTTTTCTTCCATGCCACGAACCACCTCCCCCAGTTGGCACCTGTCCAGCGCCTCCCAGATCTCCTCATCCCGATACTCCCCAGCCGGATCCACATTCATCCGAACCGAGCCTTGGAACAGGGTCGGGTCCTGAGGAATGATCGCGAGCCTGCTCCTCAGGTCCGCCAGCCCGATCCTGGTTGTATCCACACCATCGATTACCACCCGGCCTGCCGTTGGCTCGACGAGCCGAAACAGAGCGACGACGAGCGTTGATTTCCCGCTACCGGTCCTCCCGACCACCCCGACCTTCTCTCCACCGTTGATCTGCAAGCTCACGCCTTTGAGAACCAATGGGAGGTCCGGTCGGTACCGGATTTGGAGGTTTTCGAAGGTGATTGCGCCGCGGTCGGGCCAGGAGGATGGAGGGCGGTGGGAAGGGATGGAGAGCGGTGCTTCGGGGGGCACGTTGGGGTGGGAGAACTGGAGGATTCGCTCTACGGAGACCATCTGGTTCTCAAGCGCGCACCACACCCACACCACGTAGAAGAGGCCTTGAGAGAGGGCGAGACCGTACGACAGAGACATGCCCGCTAAACCTGTTTGAGAACAGATAATGGTAGTGAGGGGGAAAAGGGAGGGAAAAGGAGGAAGGGAGGCAAGAAGAGAAAGGCATGAGACATGGGCATGTTGGGGTGGGAGAAGTGGAGGATTCACTCGACTGAGACCATTTGGTTCTCAAGCGCGCACCACACCCACACCACATAGAATTCGCCTTGGAAAAGGGCGAGGCCACACGACAGAGACATGCCGGCCAGACCTGTCTGGTAAAAGGGGAGAAGGGAAGGGAAAACAGGAGGATATGGTATATAGGAGAGCGCTCACAAGAGCCACACCACGTAGAATAGGCCTTGAGATAGGGCCAGGCCGTACGACAGAGACATGCCCGCCAGACCTGAGGGGGTGTGGGGTAAGCAAGAGAGTTCGGTATGTGGAAGCATCTAATCTCAAGGGCGCACCAGACCCACACCACGTAGAATAGGCCTTGAGATAGGGCCAGGCCGTACGACAGAGACATGCCCGCCAGACCTGAGGGGGTGTGGGGTAAGCAAGAGAGTTCGGTATGTGGAAGCATCTAATCTCAAGGGCGCACCAGACCCACACCACGTAGAATAGGCCTTGAGATAGGGCCAGGCCGTACGACAGAGACATGCCCGCCAGACCTGAGGGGGTGTGGGGCAAGCAAGAGAGTTAGGTATGTGGAAGCATCTAATCTCAAGGGCGCACCAGACCCACCACACGTAGAAAAGGCTGGAGAGAGACAAACAGTACGAGCATGAGGGCCGAAAAGCACAGCAGCAACGCCCCCAGTAACTCCAAATGCACCCCCAGCTACACGGTGCATGCACCGTAGTGGAAGGGCACTCGGTTGTTGGACTGTATGTTGCTGGAAAATGGCTGGATGCTAGGGATTGTCTGTGCTTACCTGGCAAGATCACCGAAGGAGGCAACCACACGAGCATGAGCGCCGAGGAACACAGCAGCAGCGCCCCTAGTAGCTCCTTGTGAACTCCCAACCACACGGTGCATGCGCCATATCTGAAGGCCACTCAGTGGTTGGTTTGGCTGCTTGCTTGCTTGCTTGGTACCAAAGCGATCTCTGTGTGTGCGCTCACCTGGAGTGACTTTTGAGAATTCTGCTTGCTTGCTTGCTTGCTTGCTTGCTTGCTTGCTTGCTTGCTTGCTTGCTTGCTTGCTTGCTTGCTTGCTTGCTTGCTTGCTTGCTTGCTTGCTTGCTTGCTTGCTTGCTTGCTTGCTTGCTTGCTTGCTTGCTTGCTTGCTTGCTTGCTTGCTTGCTTGCTTGCTTGCTTGCTTGCTTGCTTGCTTGCTTGCTTGCTTGCTTGCTTGCTTGCTTGCTTGCTTGCTTGCTTGCTTGCTTGCTTGCTTGCTTGCTTGCTTGCAAAAGTCACTCCAAAGCGATCTCTGTGTATGCGCTCACCTGGGGAAATGACTGAAGGAGGCAGCCACACGAGCATGAAAGCCGAGAAGCACAGCAACAGCGCCCCTAGCAGCTCCAGATGCACACCCAGCCACACGGTGCATGCGCCGTAATGAAATGCCACTCGATTGTTGGTGTCCACCCTCTCTGCACTCTTTTGAGCGAATCGGGGCTGCTGGGCGAATGCTCGAATCACTGCTGCCCCTGACAGCGACCTGAGAGGGAGAGAGGAGGACAGACGGGAGAAAGTGGGGTGTTGGGATCAGGAGGTTGTTGGTGTCAACCCTCTCGGCGCTCTTCTGAGCAAATCGGGGCTGCTGGGCGAATGCTCGAATCACTGCTGACCCTGACAGGGACCTGAGTGGGGGGAGGAGAGTAAGAGGGAGGGATAGTGAGGGGGAATGCTGGGCGAATGATGGGATGACAGTTGTCATCTGGCAAATAGTGACCTGGGGAGGAGAGAAGAGAGAGTGTTTGCTTTTGGGAACTCTCAACAGCAATGAGAGTTTTGAGAGTTTTGAAAACAAGTGTTGATCGAGATGCATCAAGCTAGTGTTGAACCTGAAAGGTCACAAGCCACGGGCCACCAGACCTTTCAAGCCAATTTTAGGTCGAATAAAAACAGAGTTGCTTCAAGCTTGGGGTGTAGAACAGCTCTGACCTGAAACGTCACAAAGCATATTCCACCAGTCCGTTCAAGCCAAGAGGCTTTTCGTCCTTACTCGCTGAAGTGCTCAATGATGGGCGCCTTGGTAACCCCGTTCAGACGAGAGAGCTCCCTCGATGTCATTAGATAGTACTCCTGAGAGAAAGGGGGGGGGGATGAAATTTTGAACATGGAAATGGTATTCTTAACACATTTCCACTTCATAGGAAGCTTGTTAATGGGCGCCTTGGTGACTCCATTCAGACGATAGAGCTCCCTCGATATCATGATAGTGAATCTTTAAGTGAACAGGTATATATATAACACAGATATAATATTTTTAGATCAATGCTGACTGCATAGATAGGATTTTAAAACACGAGGATTTCTTTTCTTATTGAGCATAGCTGAGTTAACGTTTGGTATGACTTGAAATTTTCATTCATCTCAATAGATTAAGGGTAACGAAGATTGTGATGATTGAACTTTCATGCATACGACATACGGGGTGTTACAGGTGTCTCTCACTGGGAAGGAGAAGTAGAGATATGTAAGAGAGGGATAATGGCGTAGAACACAGGCCATGTGATGTTGGAGGTGATGCGAGGGATCCAGGTATTATGGGTGTTAGCAGTCGAATTCTCTCACCTGGAAGGAGAAGTAGAGGTATGTCAATGGGATAATGGCGTAGAACACAGGCCATGTGATGTAGGATGTGATGTTAGGGCTATGAGGGGCAGGTGCTAATTGTGGCTACGTGGTGGATTCTCAGCTGGGGAAGGTGTTACTGAGTGAGGGTATCTCTCACCTGGAAAGAGAAGTAGAGGTACGTCAATGGGATGATGGCGTAGAACACAGGCCACGTGATGTAGGAGGTGACAAAGAGAATGCCGAGCAGCTGGAACACCATGGCGAGCAGCGAGCCAAACTGAAATGGCAGGTCCAAGTCGAGTGCACTTTGGTCTGTAGAGGCCTGCATACGGACAGGGGGCAAAGGGGATGGGCAGAGCGGGAAAAGGGGGAAGGAGGTGACAAACAGAATGCCGAGCAGCTGGAACACCATTGCGAGGAGAGAACCAAACTGAAACGGCAGATCAAGGTCGAGAGCACTCTGATCCGTGGAGGCCTGGACACGGGGGAAAGCAAATGGGCAAGGGGGAAAAGGGGAAGGATTTGACGAAGAGGATCCCGAGGAGCTGGAAGACCATGGCGAGGAGAGAACCTAACTGAAGTGGGAGGAACAAGTCGAGTGCTCTTTGGTCTGTGGAGGCCTGGAGAGGGGCGGAGAGAAGGTGAGAGCAGGGGCAGGAGGAGAGAGGTGGTGAGGAGGGTCCCGCGAAGCTGGACTGGAACAGCGCTCGTTATATCGAAATCACTTTTGAGAATTCTCAAAAGTGATTTCGATATAGCTGGAACAGCGCTCGGAAAACGGACTGTAGCATTCCTCGGAAAAACGCCTGAGTTGTCATCACTCCCCCCCCCCCCCTACTCTAGTATTGCAGTACCTCTATTATGGCACCATCTCTCTGCTTTCCTTGTTGTTCTTACCCGGGATAAGATTCTCCCGATAGGAGTGGAGTCAAAGAAGGACATAGGGGCGTGAAACACACTCTGCAGCATGCTTCGGAAGAACGCCTGGGTGGTCATCACCCCTGCCCAGTGCGACAGTACCTTGCTTTCACTGGAGAGATGTGTTCCATGGGTCTTTCTTACCCGGGATAGGATTCGCCCGATAGGAGTAGAGTCAAAGAAGGACATGGGCGCTCGGAACACGGTCTGCAGCATGCTTCGGAAGAACGCCTGGGTGGTCATCACACCCGCCCACGATATGACTGCACCTCTATTAGCGCACCCACTCTCTGCTCATGTGTTCTTCTTACCCGGGATAAGATTCGTCCGATGGGAGTAGAGTCAAAGAAGGACATGGGCGCTCGGAATACAGTTTGCAGCATGCTTCGGAAGAACGCCTGGGTGGTCATCACACCCGCCCACGATATGACTGCTGTACGCAGCAGCACAAACAGGCCGCTGCCCAGAGCTAATAACGAGTATAGCTTCATGAAGGCTGATGGGGTGATGGCTGAGGGGGTGAGGAATGAGAGAGGGGAGGAGAAGGAGGAGGAGAGTGAGGAGGAGAAGGATGGGGTGAAGGAGGAGGAGGAAAGACTCGAGGCGAGAGGAGAGGAGAGAGGAGAGGTGAGGTTGCTTAGAATACTTTTGTTGAATCCGGCCCCTGCTGACGTGTATCCTGCTTCTGCTGAGCTGTTCTCCGCCCCTGCTGAGCTGTACGTGGCCAGCCACAGGTCAGATCCGATCTGCAGCGCCTGCCACGCCAGCTGGACCAGCAGCAGCAGCGGCACGTGCCAGCCGCCCATCGCTTTCGTCATGTACTGCCAGTATACAGCCAAAGAAACCCGCCCAGACTCCCGTTCCTCCTCACTGATCAACTGCCCATCCCCGTCCTCCCCTGCAGCCCCCCCTAAAGAACCACCGGCACCACCAGCAGAACCAGTAGCACCAGCAGCAGCACCATCTGATTCCCCCACTTCCATGTTCTCTAGAATCTGGTGGGATTCTGGGGAGGCTGTGTGCAGCAGCATAGGGTCGGACATTTTCCGAAGCTGCGAGTGCGAGGCCTTGCGCAGCAGGTTCGGTTCCGAGCCTTTTCGCAGGTTCGGTGCGGATTGTTTCCGAAGCTGCGAGAGGTGCGGGTTGCTGTGGATTGGATCGACGGGTTGCTTGGGGAGGAGAGGAGCAGATGAGGATGCCGATGCAGGAACACCAATGGCATCTTTTGAGGTAGCGGGAGCAGCAGGAGTAGCCGCAGCAGCAGATGAGGCGGCAGCAGCAGCAGCAGCTGCATTGGCAGCGGCGGTAACAGCAGCGGCAGCAGTGGTAGCAGCTGCAGCAGTGGCAGTCCCAACACTCTCGAGCGCATCAGTGTGTGCCTCCACGAGAGCACTGAAGTCCGTTCCCTCTGCCAGCAGCTGGTCATAGCGCCCTGACTGCACTATGCGCCCCTCCTTCATCACCTACTCGTGTGGGGAGAGGGGAGTGAGAGGCAGGGTGGGAAAACTGAATGGAGGGATTGACAGGTTTCCAGCGCATCAGTGTGTGCTTCCACAAGAGCACTGAAGTCCGTGCCCTCTGCCAGCAGCTGGTCGTAGCGCCCTGACTGCACAATACGCCCCTCCTTCATCACCTGGTGGTGGGAACAGAAGGGGAGGGCGACGGAGGGACAGTAAGCACATCAGTATGTGCTTCCACGAGGGCACTGAAGTCCGTGCCCTCTGCTAGCAGCTGGTCGTAGCGGCCCGACTGCACTATGCGCCCCTCCTTCATCACCTGGTGGTGTTTGGGGGGGGGAGGGAGAGGGGAGAAAGAGGTGTGTCTGTGTGTTCTCTACCCATCCACCCCTCCACCAGGGCACTGAAGTCCGTGCCCTCTGCCAGCAGCTGGACGTAGTTCCCTGACTGCACTATGCGCCCCTCCTTCATCACCTGGTGGCTAAGAAGAGTGAATGGGGGAAGGGGTGACAGGCGGTTGAGTTAAGGGTGTGAGAAAGAGGCGTCTGTAAAAGCTTCCGCACTAGAACCGTTGCGCACCAACTCGACTCAATTCGACTCAACTCGACGCGGAATGAGTTGCAACAGCAGCACCACATCAAGACCGCATCAGCACGTCAGCAAATTGTCAGAGATGAGGTCAGTATCTCATCATAATGATGTCAGCATCTCACCAGAATGAGGTCAGCAGCGGGAAGGAACTCCACTTGGTGCGTCACCAGGATGACTGTCTTCCCTGCCAGGCCCTTGAGCACATACTCCTGGAGGGAATAGTATTTGGGGGGGAAGGGGGGTGGGGGGAGCAGGCGGGAAGGGGAGATGGGGGCAGGTGTCAGCAGCGGGAAGGAACTCCACTTGATGCGTCACCAGAATGACTGTCTTCCCTGCCAGGCCCTTGAGCACGTACTCCTGAAAAAAGGGTGATGATGGGAAAGAAGGAGCAACAGATGAGCGAAGGGAGTAAGGAGGAGGGCAATGCGGCAGGCAGCAGAGGGAAGGAACTCCACTTGATGCGTCACCAGGATGACTGTCTTGCCCGCCAGCCCCTTGAGCACGTATTCCTGCAACAGAATGGTATAGATGAGGGGGGAAGAGGGCCAGAGGAGGGAAGGATGAGCGGAGGGAGTAAGGGGAGATTATGCTCCAACTGACCACTCAATCACCAGGTAAAGAGGCCTGAACCCCACAACTGCTGGAACCCTCCAGAACCACCCAGAACCCCCGAGCACCCCCCAGAACCCCCAAACCCCTCACCATGAAGAGCTCTGACCCAGTGTGGGCGTCCACGGCACTGAAGGGATCGTCCAGCAGATACACCTCCGCACCCATCCCCACCCCTGCATACATAGCCCGCGCCAGCTGAATCCTTTGCTTCTGCCCGCCGGACAGATTCACCCCTCTCTCCCCTGTCTGTGTGTCAGCCCCCAGGGGGAACACGGATTGACCCATCACAAGAACCTCATCTACTAACTCACCATGAAGAGCTCTGACCCAGTGTGGGCGTCCACGGCACTGAAGGGATCGTCCAGCAGATACACCTCCGCACCCATCCCCACCCCTACGTACATCGCCCGTGCCAGCTGAATCCTTTGCTTCTGCCCACCGGACAAATTCACCCCCCTCTCCCCGATCTGTGTGTCGGCCCACAGGGGGAACACACCAACTAATGACCCCTCTCCCACTCACCATAAACAGTTCTGATCCCGTGTGGGCGTCCACGGCACTGAACGGATCGTCCAGCAGGTAAATCTCCGCACCCATCCCCACCCCTGCGTACATCGCCCTGGTCAGCTGAATCCTTTGCTTCTGCCCACCGGACAGATTCACCCCCCTCTCTCCCCGATCTGCGTGTCGGCCCCCAGGGGGGAGAGGCGCAGGTCGGCTAGGAGGGAGAACACCAACTGACAACCCCACTCACCATGAAGAGCTCTGAACCGGTATGCGCGTCCACAGCACTGAACGGATCGTCCAGCAGATACACCTCCGCACCCATCCCCACCCCTGCATACATCGCCCTGGCCAGTTGAATCCGCTGCTTCTGCCCCCCGGATAGATTCACCCCTCTCTCCCCGATCTGCGTGTCGGCCCCCAAAGGAAACAGGCGCAGGTCAGCGAGGAGCGAGCACTGGTGCAGCGTGTGGTGGTAGCGGGCTCGGTCCAAGGGCTGGCCGAACAGAATGTTGTCCCGGATGGTGGCGTTTTGGATCCACGCGGACTGAGGCACGTAGGCCGTGGGACCCGAGACAAACACCTGTAGAAAGGGCAGGGAGGGACAGAGGAAGGAGGAGGCAGGTGGGGACAGGGGGAGAGAGATTCACCACCCCTCTCTCCCCGATCTACGTATCTGCCCCCAGAAGGGGGAAGAGGCGCAGGTCAGCGAGGAGCGAGCACTGGTGCAGCGTGTGGTGGTAGCGCGCAAGGTCCAAGGGTTGGCCGAACAGAATGTTGTCCCGGATGGTGGCGTTTTGGATCCACGCGGACTGAGGCACGTAGGCCGTGGGACCTGATGCACACACCTGACATGTGCGAGCGAGGGATAGATAGGCGGAACGGGAAAGGGGGGGATTTGAACAAGCCATCACACCTCGACAGGATCCACGCGGACTGAGGCACGTAGGCCGTGGGACCCGAGATAAACACCAGACAGGGTGGGAAGAAAGAGGGGAGGAGAGTGGGAGTAGGGAAGGAGTGTGCATTCACTGGTGAATGTTGTCCCGGATGGTGGCGTTCTGAATCCACGCGGACTGGGGAACGTAGGCCGTGGGACCCGAGACAAACAAGGTCACCTTGTCCTGCACTTTCAGCACCTCTTTCATAATACAGAGATGACCTTGTTAGTTTGTGGACAGCAGGGATTTGAGACGTCTCAAAACCCTTCTTCAAAAACATGACCTTGTTAGTTTGTGGACAGCAGGGATTTGAGACGTCTCAAAACCCTTCTTCAAACACATGACCTTGCTAGTTTGTGGACAGCAGGGATTTGAGACGTCTCAAAACCCTTCTTCAAACACATGACCTTGTTAGTTTGTGGACAGCAGGGATTTGAGACGTCTCAAAACCCTTGTTCAAACACATGACCTTGTTAGTTTGTGGACAGCAGGGATTTGAGACGTCTCAAAACCCTTGTTCAAACACATGACCTTGTTAGTTTGTGGACAGCAGGGATTTGAGACGTCTCAAAACCCTTCTTCAAACACATGACCATGTTAGTTTGTGGACAGCAGGGATTTGAGACGTCTCAAAACCCTTGTTCAAACACATGACCTTGTTAGTTTGTGGACAGCAGGGATTTGAGACGTCTCAAAACCCTTCTTCAAACACATGACCATGTTAGTTTGTGGACAGCAGGGATTTGAGACGTCTCAAAACCCTTCTTCAAAAACATGACCATGTTAGTTTGTGGACAGCAGGGATTTGAGACGTCTCAAAACCCTTGTTCAAACACATGACCTTGTTAGTTTGTGGACAGCAGGGATTTGAGACGTCTCAAAACCCTTGTTCAAACACATGACCTTGTTAGTTTGTGGACAGCAGGGAGGATTTGCCAGGGCGTGGAGGTGTGTGTGGACGAAGCAGTTTCCACTAGCTAGTTTCCACTAGCTAGTTTCCAAGCAGTGGTCTAAATCCACGAACTCACCTTCCCTTGCAGCTTGGGCACTTCACCCAGGATGCAGGACAGAAGAGACGACTTGCCCGCGCCCACCGTCCCACACACCGCCACGCGCATGCCCCGCCTGATCTCCAGGTCAACGCCAGTCAACGTGGTCTTCTCTGGGTCCGCATCCCAGCTGAACGTGCCATTCTCAATCCTCACCACCACGTCATCATCACCTTCCTTCTTCCTTTTCCCCTCCACTGGCTCCTCATTTCCTTTCTCCACCCCCCTCTCCTCCCCCTCCCCATCCTGCTGCTGCTGACTGATACCCCCATTACCTCCATACCCATTACCATTCAGACCATCCCGCATTCCCTCTCCACCCATCCCTCCTCCCTCTCCAACCCTCTCCACCGCATCCCACTGCAACTCCTCATCAGACAAAAACCTCGAAAGCCGTTTCAACGACACCATGGCCTGCGTGACCGCGCTGATCACCGACGGGAACGACCGCAGCGGCTCCTGCAGAATCCTGAAAGTCGCAATCGCAGTGAAAACCGACGCCGGGGTAAGCGGCACACCGAGAGCCACCATCGTGCCGAAAGTCGCGACCGAGACCGCGAGAGGGGTGAGCCAGAGGAGGAAGATGTTTACTGCTGCGTAGGCCATGAATTTGACCAGCCAGGAGGCTTCGGAGTCGCGGAGCGATTGGATTTTGTCCTGGAAGTGCTGCTGCCACGCGTAGAGCTTGATGATCTTCATGGAGGAGAGGGCTTCCGAGGTGGCCTTCATGCGCGCGTCCTTGGCTGACATGATTTCGGTTATGAATCGGTGGATGCCGGATGCCACTAGAAGGTTGGCGAGCATGACTGCCAGCATCACTCCCAGGCCGGAGAGCATGGATATGCCCACCACCTGTGAACAGGGATTGAGGGAGGGCGGGAGGGAGGGAAAGAAGGAGAGCGGACAGGGAGGGAGAGGAGAGGAGAGGAGGGAGGGAGGCGAGAGAGAGGAGGGAGCGAGGGGAGAGAGAGGAGGGGCGTGTTTGAAGCAGTGATGAATCAATGAATGCAGGATGCCACTGTGAGATTGGCGAGCGTGACTAAGCATGGATATTCCCATCACCTGTAGTGCGGGGGGAGGGCGGTGGAGAGGGAGGGAGGGGAGAGAGAGGAGGGGCGTGTTTGGTTCGCATGGTGGTGGTGATGGAGCAGTGGATGTTAGATGCAAGCGCAAGATTGGCAATAAAACTCACGTAGACTCACATTGGTTACAGAGAGTAGTAGGTGCAGGCACTCACGTGGAAGAGGATGACGAGGGTGCATATGATCTGTAGTGGCAGCACAGCACCCAGATGATGTGCTGTGAGTCGACTCAAATTCTATCAGATGACACACACTCTTGAGAGGATGAGGTTGGCAGCACTCACATGGAAAAGGATGATGAGGGCGCATACGATCTGTAGTGGCAGCACCCATATGTTGTGCAACTCCCACATGAGGTCCGCTAGGCGCTGAGAGTGGGAGAGAGGGTGGGAAGAAAGTGAAGGGAGAGGAAGAGTGGAAGTGAGACTGAAGAGGTTATTAGGCGTGGCAGCAGCACACAAATGTTCTGCAACTCCTGCATGAGGTCATATGCACATGCAATTGACTATCTCCCCAGTTGGGTGCCTCCGCTTTGCCTTGCGAACTCACTCAATCCCTCTCACTCCACTCCACCCCTCTCCATCCCTCCTCTCCCCTCTGCACCCCTCCATACCTGAGCATCTGTCGACATGTAGTTCACAATCTCCCCAATGGTGTGTCTCTTCTTCGCCTTGCTGGACAGGCGCAGCCCCTTGCGGTAGAGTGCACCCAAAAAATGCCACTTCCATCCCTCCTCACCCCTCTCCACCCCTCTGTACCCCACTCCACCCCTCTCAACCCGTTCGCACCTGAGCATCTGTCGACATGTAGTTCACAATCTCCCCAATGGTGTGTCTCTGCTTCGCCTTGCTGGACAGCCGCAGCCCCTTGCGGTAGAGTGCACCCACCAACGCCGATTTGATGTCCAGCCCAAGCACCTGGATGGAGTGTGCATGCACGCCATGTGAAATAACACCAAGAAAACGCATGAAACTTTATTGCAGCCCCTTGCGGTAGAGAGCGTCCACCAGGGCTGCTTTGACGTCCAGCCAGCCCAAGCACCTGGAGCGTGTGTGCATGGCGTGGGGGTGGGGGAGTGACGAGCAGAGCCGTGACACTTTAAAAATCCCTTCGGTTGCAGCGCAGCCCCTTTCGATAGAGCGCGCCCACCAGTCCAAGCACCTGGGGTGTGTGTGGTGAGGGGTGCTTGGGGTTAGGGCTTAAAGATGCTGGCAACAAGAGGAAGTCGCCCCCCCCTGCAGTAGAGTCCACCCACCAGTGCTGCGTTGATGTTCAACCCAGTAAGCTTTGTGCTACCTCGTCTCACCTCGGACCTCAAGTTGAACTGGTGCTCCAGCACGATCTCAGACGCCTTGGACAGGAACAGAGCCAGCACGAGCACCACCCGCTCCCCTTGGGAGCTGAATGTGCCTGCTCAATGCTCAATTCAAGTGTACTCCCAGTGAATCTTTTCTACTCCCTCACCTCGGATCGGAAGTTGAACTGGTGCTCCAGCACGATCTCAGACGCCTTGGACAGGAACAGAGCCAGCACGAGCACCACCCGCTCCCCTTGGGAGCTGAATGTGCCTGCTCAATGCTCAATTCAAGTGTACTCCCAGTGAATCTTTTCTACTCCCTCACCTCGGATCGGAAGTTGAACTGGTGCTCCAGCACGATCTCAGACGCCTTGGACAGGAACCCACAGCGTGCCTGACTGAGCCTGCTCATGTGTTTGATTCCTTCCGTGCCCTCTCTGCCTTCTGTGCCCTCTCTGCCTTCTGTGCCCTCTCTGCCTTCTGTGCCCTCTATGCTCTCCCACACTCACCTCGGATCGGAAGTTAAACTGGTGTTCCAGAACAATTTCAGACGCCTTGGACAGGAACAGCGCGACCACAAGCACCACCCCTTCCCCCGGAAACGCCCTCTCCCCCGCCGCAAATTGCACAAAGCTCGCCAGCAGCAGCGGCCCTGCATACATCACACCGGTTTTACCCAGCGCCAGCACTCCTGTCAGCACCAGCGGCCTCCAGAAGCACTCCCAGAGAGCCCGGGTTACCGTTGCCTTGGGCTGTGTCTGCTCTCCCTCCTCTTCTTTGTCTTCCTTGGTTTTTTCTGCAGTGGCCGAGTCTTTGCTGTCTTCTTGCTGGGTGTACGGAGAGGTGTAGAGTGAGGTGAGGAAGGATTTGAGGGAGTGAAGGCAGGATGAGAGGACGGAGATGCAGCGATAGAGTGCGGTGCAGAGGTTTTCACAGGAACAGGCCTGCGAAAGGGAAAAGGGGCCGCTAAAGAAAGGGATAAGACCTACTCCCCCGCCCCTTGCTGCTGCAGCTTCGGCAGCTTCAGCCTCAGCAACCTGCCTTGCCCAGCTGGCGTCAAAGGCTCGGAAGTTAGCTTCGGCGCGGTCGCAGGCCTGTAGGCTCGGCACGTCCTCCACAGCCACAGTCTTCTCCGCACCCGCCTCCAGGAACGGCGAGACCCATCCGAACGTGAGAGCTGAGAGCCAATCAGCAGAGGCGTAGAGAGTCATAGGAGGCTCCTCCTGCTGCTTCTTCTGCTCCTGCTCCTCCTCCTCCTCTTCATCCTGTAACTGTTCTAACTGTGACTGACGGCGCTTATCCCCCTGCCCTGCTTCTGCCCCTGACTCCTTCCCTGTCGGTCTTGAGAGATTCGATTTCCGATGCTGCTTCTTCTCCTTCCCTGCCACGTGGCTTTCTCTTATTGCCCCTCCACCAATCAGCAATGGAGTTCGTAGCCCATCCTCTATAGTTTCGACATCCGATGGCTGAGATTCTGCACGAGGAAGAGCCCATCCTGGCCGTCCATTCACTGCAAACGCCCCGAAAAGGAGAGCCACTGGAAGGGTAACCAGCGTCAGAAAATCGCTCCACACCCCAAAATTCCCTCGGCTATTTCCAGCAAGAACCCCTTCTCCTACTGCCCCTCCTGATTCTGCCTTCAACCCTCCAGGGGAACCAAATCGTAACACCACACCAGCAGAGAGTAACAGCACAGCACCCGCATTCGCAAACAGCCAAACCCTAGCCGAACCCACAAGCCTCTGATCCTTCCGTTTGCCATACAGCAGTAACACCCGCAGCGCCAGTAACCAGGTTACCACCTGCCCAGCTGCATACGCCAGCACATGGGGATACGCCCCGTGCTGCTTGCTGTCAGCCGGATTCACAAGCATGAAGAGAAGGGCAGATAGGATGAGAAGCGCCCAGGAGACTGAGAGGAGGAGGGAGAGGAAGAGATAGAGCCAGTACCCTGGTCCTGCTTTCCAGTGTGTCTCTGCCCCTGCGGTATCTGCTGTGTCAGGAGCACCCTGAACGTCAGACCCGGGGGGGCGGGAGGAGCGAGAGGCAGGAGCAGACGGGGCAGAGGGACGGGAGGCGGAGGAGGAAGAGGAAGGGCCGGGAACAGAAGGGGAAGAGGAAGGACCGGAAGAGGAGGAGGGGGAAGCGGGGCTGGAATGTGCGTGTTGGGGTTTGGGGAGGATTAGGAGGTGAGAGAGGGTGCAGATGATGAAGAAGGCTGAGAAGAGCAGGAAGGACGCGTGCTGCAGGCACGGGGAGACTGGGAGGTAGAGCAGAAACGGAGGTAGGTACCCTGGGCTGGTTTCCTCTGTCGCTAGGCGCTCTATTTGGTTCCATGTGACTATGGAGGGAGTGATGTTAGGGAGGGAAGCGGGGGAGAATTGGGAGAGAGTGTTGTGGCGGGAGGAGGGGAGGAGGAGGAGGCTGGGTGGGGTGGAGGAGAGAGGAGGGGCGGAGGAGGAGAGGAGGTGTGTGGAGAGGCAGTGCTGCGAGTAGGGGTCGTGGGGACCACAGAAGGACGGCCAAACTGGAGTCAGGGAGGGAGTGACGGAGGGAGAGAGGGAGCTTAGGATCAGTGAAAAAGGAGAAAGTGGAGCGCGAGTAGTTTGGGAGTAGGGGTCGTGTTTTCTCAGTTGACGTTACTAACTTTCCAAAGCATTAGACACATATAATTTAATCCAGAAGGATCTCACTGCTCGACGAGAAAGTGGGACTAAAAGAGATTGTGTAGACGTTTATTGAGGATTTGTATAGAAGGGGAAAACAAACAATTAGAAGCGGAGAAACTTACAGGTTGAGGAGAAAGTGGGGCCGGAGGAGATGGTGTAGAGGAACGATGACATCATCATGTGCGTTCCTGCTCTCAGGAAATCCATCTGATGGTGGGATTCGGGTAACGGGTGTGACAATAGCGATGGAATCAGGGCGCTGTAGGAGGAAGCGAGAACGCCAACGGCGAAGAAACGAAAGCATTCTATGAGGAAAGCAGAAGCGGAACGCAGGGGTACAAGGAATCTAATATATTAAAGATGCCGAGTCGCCTAAAAACCCTCTACGAACCTTGACAGGCTTTTTGCGAAATACTTCTCGGCTCACATTTCCAGAAAAGAAGTAGCTAAAATACGCGTGTCTGAACCGGCAAATCTAGCTCAGGTAATCATCCTCTCATTCGCGTACAATTCTCCTCTGAATCCGGAAAATTCTAATACTTGAATGACGTGGAGATCCTCTTAGCTCCTCTGGAAGCTTTTCACGAATCTGACAAACGACCCTCAGAAGTGAATTCCACCTAAACCCACGAATTCGCAAATCCACGCCTTACTTTTCCTGATTCGACCAATCACAGGAGGAAAAACGGGCCGTGCGTGACCCAGCGCTCGCCTCCGTGATCCACCTATGAAAACGAGCCGCACTGTCTCTTTTCCCCAAGCCTTCGCAATTGCATCTCGGGTGTCATGCAAAAGCGCGACGCCGAGATAATAAGAGGCAGATTAAACCGTTGTTTGCTGGCTTTACTCTGGCGACAACTGCCCCCACACGTCAGCTTGGTTTCGTCAGGAAGAAAAGCAATTCTCTAGGGGGGGTTGAGGGGGTAATGCTTCGGCGGAATGTGATAGTAACGAACGAAAGACCGCAACGCACCACCACCACATGAGTGATCCGACCAACCACAATCGAGGCTCCCTTAAAATTGTCGTCCGCCTATCAGTGGCTGTCAGTCAGCAGCAAGTGCAAGCATTTTCCTGGTCGATGGCGCGGCGGCGGGCCGATAAATGGAAGCCACGTGGCTGCCAACCCAGTGCTTTTCCAAAATGGTTGGTGTCGAGCATACCCTATATTACCTCGAGCATATTTCCTGGATAATCCATCCTAAAGTAATGAATCAATTTTCATTGAACAATGGGGTCATTTTCTAAAGAAAGAACTTTACTAGGGGATATAGTAACCCATTTAATCACTCTCATGCCACTGTCATAAACAGCAAGGCTGCTAAAATAACAATACTATATGGGCTGGTTATGAATGTAAGCCTCGTTTGTTCAGCGATTGTACTAAATATCGAGGTATTCTAACATTTCTAGCGAATTTCTTATCTTTCCGCTCTCTCGTCTCACCTTGCGACCTGACATTCAGCAAATCGTCACAAAGCCTCCACTCTCCACGGCGCCTTCATTGAACGCTAACTAGAATGGTGCATTCGCATCCATTAAGAATGTCTATAACTCGTGAAGCGGGAACGCGGGGTGGGTAGCTTTCCCTGTCAATGGCCCACAGGGCTCGAGCCATGTCGATCAACCATTTGCCTGACGACCTTCTTTCCAAAAATATCTCACTTGCCGCCACTGCCGCCACCGCCCCCGCCACCGCCGCTGCAGAATCGACATCAGAACTTGGCGGCACGGATAACGGCCAGACTGGCGAGACGAACTTCACAGATATCCCCAATTTTAGCAACCTCGCGGTGGTTTGTAAGCGATGGTTGTTTCTGATGACGACCCTCCGCGTCCCTGGCGCTTTTAAGTCAGACTCCCCCGAACTCCGCGGTACCGAGAAGCTCGCGATGGCGCTTTCCGCCCCCACGATCTCCGCGCCTGCGCTTTTCCGCACGCTGGCGCTCGCACCGAGCGTTACGGCGCTTTCTCTGGAAGCATACGCCGTCGATATTTACGACGACGAGTTTATGTCTAGCTTGCTTTCCGCGCGGCCTCGGCTCGCCCGCCTGAGCATCGGCTCCCCCCGCTTCACCGGAACGCCCCACTTTCGAATCGGCACAGAATCTGTCGAGAATTTCTTCTGCGTCGCGTCGTTGCGCCTGGAGGAGCTCTCCCTGCACGAATGCCTTGGCCACACGACGAAGCTCCCTGCCTCCATCGCGTCGCTGTCGTCGCTGCGCGTGTTCCACCTGTGCTCCAAGGTTCTGCGCTCGCTGCCCGACGAGATCTGCCAGCTGTCTGCCCTGCAGGAACTTTATCTCACCTGCGCGTTGCTGCAGCAGCTGCCTGGAAAAATTGGCCAACTAACGAGGCTGGAGCACCTTTCGTTTACGGGTTGCAAAGAAATGCGGCGCCTGCCGGATTCGCTCGGCGATCTCTCGTCGCTCACCTCTCTCCACATCGACGGCGCGTGGCAGGTGGATCGCCTCCCGCCTCGCATCGGCGCGCTGCAGCAGATGCGGCGACTGGACCTGCGGAATTTCCGAGGCGGGTTACCAGAGGCATGCGAAAACTGGGCGAAACTCGAGCAAGTCAATCTGGCTTCGTGCACTGACATGCGCAGTTGCCAGCTCGCGTCCGTGCACTCGCTCACGCATCTCACGATCAGCGCCTGCCGGGAGCTCCAGTCGCTCCCGGCCAACCTGCCCTTTGCGACGGCATTGCGCCATCTAACGCTCGATCATCTCGGTTTCAACGTGTCCCTCGAGCCGCTAAGCGGGCTGGTAGCTCTAGAGCGGCTGCACGTGTCAAGCGTCGACCGGGAGGAGCGCTTTCACGAGGTTCTCTTCGCGCTTCCGTCCCTGGTGCACGTGAAATTGCGCAATGTCGGGTGGTTCGAGCCGCCCGACGTGACGGATATGGAGAACTTGAGGGAGGTCGCCGCCGCAGCGGACACAGCCGCCGCAACGGACACAGCTGCTGCCGCAGCAGCCACTTTCGCAGCAGCAGGAGGTGGGGCAGGTGATACCACTTACCACGCAGAGCTCGGCCCGTCTCTGAAGAATCTCAGTATCGGCCTGGGCAGGACTCTTGAAGATATGCTAGGGTACGGCAGGCAAGGCAGTCGTACGCTCTCCTCTCGTCTCTGCTCGCTGCTCTCCCTCACACACCTCTCAATCGACTGGCTCTTCGCCTCCGCCAGACTCCCTTCCAACCTGGGTTCCCTGCACAACCTGCGCTCTCTCTCCCTCCGCGGCACCTCGCTCTGCCTCCCACACTCCCTCTCCCGCCTCGCTTCATGCCTGCACTCCCTCAAAATGCACTACAGCGGCGCCAGTGACGCGGACGCCTTTCACCGGAATCTGCCGCCGTGTCTCCCGCTTCTCACCTCCCTCACAAACCTCCACCTTCACAACATGTACCTGCCGTTGTCCCCTCCGCTTGCCTTTGCCCGCCTGCGCGCTCTCCGCACACTACGCATCGAGTATGACATCACCTTCCCCAGCCACGTGTCCTTTCCAGAAGACCTGGGCCAGCTGTCAGCCTTGGAGTGGCTGGAGCTGAAGTACTGCTCTATAAGTCCAAGGCTTCCGCAGTCACTCTGTGACCTGGGCTCTCTGCGGCGGTTGTACCTCGGCAGCAAGACTTTAAAGCACCTGCCCACGGAAATCTCTAGGCTGTCGCACTTACAAGAGCTAATGATATCATGGTGTTACAGAATGGAATTTTTGCCTCCAGGGCTTGGCTCCCTAGGAGCACTACAAAAGCTGAGTATCAGTGGCGCGTCGGGGGATTACCTTCCTGACACTCTAGCCGGCTTATCTTTTCTCGAGGAGGTGTCTTTGGATCAATGTTATGACGGGTTGATTTTTTAGTCGACTCAAGGATCAATGTTCTGACGGGTTGATTTTTTTGTCGACTCAAGGATCAATGTTCTGACGGGTTGATTTTTGAGTCGACTCAAGGATCAATGTTCTGACGGGCTGATTTTTGAGTCGACTCAAGGATCAATGTTATGACGGGCTGATTTTGAGTCGACTCAAGGATCAATGTTCTGACGGGTTGATTTTTGAGTCGACTCAAGGATCAATGTTCTGACGGGTTGATTTTTGAGTCGACTCAAGGATCAATGTTCTGACGGGTTGATTTTTGAGTCGACTCAAGGATCAATGCTCTGACGGGTTGATCTTTGAGTCGACTCAAGGATCAATGTTATGACGGGTTGATTTTTGAGTCAACTCAAGGATCAATGTTCCGACGGGTCGATTTTTGAGTCGACTCAAGGATCAATATTCTGACGGGTTGATGTTTGAGTCGACTCAAGGATCAGTGTTCTGAAGGGTTGATGTTTGAGTCGACTCAAGGATCAATGTTCTGACGGGTTGATGTTTGAGTCGACTCAAGGATCAATGTTCTGACCGTTTCCGCCTGCCTCCCTCCTTCTGCCTCCTCCCTCGCCTGCTCTCGCATCACCAGCTGCGGTGATCTCACCACACTGCCCGATAAGGCTCTCTATGCTCCCTGCAGCGTCTCTCTGTCGACTCGTGCAAAAATTTCCACCATTTGCCCGACTCTTTCTCCGGCCTTTCCGCCCTGACCCTCCTCAGCATCTTCAACTGCCCGGGATTCTCCCACCTTTCTGAGAACTTTGGCTTCATGCCCCGCCTAACCCGCCTCAAAATTGCCGAATGCAGATCATTCACGCACCTTCCTAGCTCCTTCTCCTCCCAGTCTGCCCTCCAAGTGGCCTGCTTTAGCCTCTGCAAGCAGTTGCACTCCCTCTCTCACACACTCGGACTTCTGCCTCGCTTAGAAGTGCTTCAGTTGAGGTAGTGCGTGGCACTCAAGCGTTTACCGGAGTCGCTCCGAGAGGCGAGGGCTCTGCGGCATGTGGATGTGTATGGGAGTGGTGTGGCAGAGGAAGGGGTGGAGGTGGGTGTTTGTGCGAGTTACGTGCATGTTGTGAGGGGAGGATGGGACGAGCGGAGCACGTTGGGACGAAGGAAAAGGGGAGGAAAGGGAGAGGTTGTGTGGATGTGAAGTTGGAGGAAGGATAGTGCTGTGCTGGCCCTTGAATGAGTAGAGGATGTACAGAGCAATGGTACGGTACTGTATCTTCCGGACAATTTTTCAGTGATACGTTAGGAAATAGGCAGGGTGGATGGAACAGTTCTGAAAGGCCCCCATTGGTATCGTATTTGTTGTACTAAACAGCTTGTCAATGGCATTGAACATGAACAAGAGCCTTATGTTAATCATTATGCTTAACATGCATTCCGTTCTTTATCTTAGTCATTATGCTTGACTCTGTTCTGTTCTACTATGTTTCACATGCACCTATTGTAGCTTATTACTTCAAAAGCATCACGTTGCTAACATCAATGCCCTTTTCACATCCAAAATACGGTAGGCTAATAAACACTTGTTAATGACCTGTACAACATAAGGTCTCCCTCTCCAATCGTCTAAAAGCCTTCATGAAATGGAAGCACATGTTTGGAGCGTCAGGGACATAGTTACCCAGTGCACTAACAACAATCTTCAGATAACCGGCGTATGACTCAATATGACACGTCATGGCCTGCAGGTGGGGAGGCAAAGAATTAGGCCAACATTCTACGGTAATCGAATGCACATGACTTTTAACGTTTACCATATCAATGCGTGTGCGTGCGCACCTGGTGTTGGCCCACTGTAGTGATAGTAAGTGCCGAAACAACATGCCCTGAGAGAGTCAGCTTTCCTTTCGGCCCTGCAATGTTGGAGACTGTGATTGAGGTCTGTTGGGACACCCTCGCAAACAGCCATGCCATCACCTGTTGTGAAGCACAAAAAGAGCGTATGTTGGAAACATGGGTTAAAAGGAAAAAAAGAAAGAAAAACAAAAGAGAACAGGTCATGGCAAACAGAGCTAGCTGAGGAAGATGCAGGTGTGTCAGAGGATGTCAGAGGATGTCAGGGGATGTCAGAGGATGTCTGTGAACAGGGAGCAGGCCCTGAGACAGGCCATGATCCGCGCACACCTCTTGTCATGTCAGAGGATGGTACTCTCCCAACCCTGCGCCCACCACCCACTAGCCTTGCCTTGCGACCCAGCACGGCGAGTGCCAGGCAGGCATAGAGGTTGGTGAGATGGGCCTCCAAGGACACCTTCCAATCCCATTGCCGATCGCCCTACCATGCATCACCCAGCTTGTATTCCCCACTCTCCCTACCTTGCGGCCCAGCACGGCGAGGGCCAGGCGGGCATAGAGGTGGGCCTCCCAGGACACCTTCTTCTGCCCACACTCCGCCCGCACTCGCTGCACTTCCCTCATACCCCTGCCCCACTATGTCTCCAGTCCCACACCCATACCCTCCAACCCATTACCTTGCGTCCTAGAAGTGCGAGAGCCAGGCGGGCATAGAGGTTGGTTAGGTGGGCCTCCCAGGAAACCTTCTTCTATTACAATCCGCCCTCACTCGCTGCATTCTTCTCATCCCCGTGCCCCATCATGACTCCATTCCAATACCCAGTCCATCCCCTCCAGTTTCCCTACCTTGCGGCCCAGCAGCGCGAGGGCTAGGCGGGCATAGAGGTTGGTGAGGTGGGCCTCCAAGGACAGCTTCTTCTGCTCATGCCCATGCACCGCATTGCATTCATCCCCATACCCTTAACCCCCACTCGCCCTACCTTGCGGCCCAGCAGCGCGAGTGCGAGGCGGGCATAGAGGTTGGTGAGGTGAGCTTCCCACGACACCTTCTTCTGCCTGCACTCCGCCCTCATTCGCTGCACCCGCCTCATCTCCTTTGCCCCACCTGTGTGTTTCGTCGCTGCCGGCATCTCAATAACGTGGCTGTTTGTTACACTAGGCAGTGCTGCAGTGGAGGAGGTGCTTCCACGTGGCACTGAGGCTGATGTGGCATGCGACGGGTTCCCGGGGGTGGCAGTGGGAAGCGGAGGAGGAGGAAGAGGAAGACTGGGAGGATGAGGTGAGATGGGGAGGGAGATGACGTTTATCCCAAGCTTATTTCCCCACTGAAACAGGAGCACATGGGAACGAGGCAAGGCAAGAGGGGCATTTGCTCGCAGTTAGCAGGGCCTGAGCAGGGCGAAACTGGTCAATACTGGGCATATGGGAAAGAGGAGATTAGAGTAATGGGGAGTTGAGAGTGGTGGAAAGAGATGGAAAGAAACAAGGTTCCACTTACAACAGGTGGTCCCTTTGGTGTCCTGCTCCTTAGATCAGCCATTGTCACCGCTCTGAACCGAATAGCACCGCCCCTGCTGCTCCATCCATTTGACTTTTGGCGCTGCTCATTTGACTCAGGGTTGTGCCTTCCTGCTTGCACGTAGCTCTCTATGCCCGCAGCAATGACTGCCATCATAAGGTCGTTCACAGTCTGTGTGTGAGTCGTAGGGAGGGAGAAGGGAGAGAGAACAAAAATGAGGTACTGCTGGGTGCTGCTGGGTGCTGCTGGGTGCCGCTGGGTACTGCTGGGTTGACCCATGAGAGCCGGGACACCTGACTTGCACGCAGCTCTCTATGCCTGCAGCAATGATTGCCATAAGGTCGTTCACAGTCTGTGTGTGAGGGGAATAGGGGCAGGGTAAGGATGGGGTTGGGGGAATGCAGAGAGCATGGGAAGAGGAACGCAACGGGAGGAGATTGTGGGAGTGGCGAGATGAAAAGTGAGGGTAAATGCCAAGGGTAAGAGAATGGGGCAAAGAGGGAGGACGAGAATGGAGGGAGAGATGAACACTGGATAGAATGGGGATATGGAGAGAGCAGAGGGGAGATTCAGATTTCAACCCTCAATGAGCCTCACCCCCACCCACCTTCCCCCCTCCCCCCCTCCCACTCACCGCTCCAAGTGCCTTTCGAACCCTAGCCACCCTCTCCATCTCAATCCCCTCAGTCACCGCAAAGCTTCTCGGAAGCGTCCGCTGGTCCTGCTTTCGCAGTCTTGAAAACGGCATGGCAGAGCGAACAGGCGTGCAGGGATGGTCTGAGAGGAAGAGGATGGTTAAGAGGAATTCAATCAGGTGAGCAACGGTGGCAATGGTGCATCGCCATGCCATTGTCGCCAAATGGACCATGTAGCTGCAGCGGTACGAGATGGTGCTGGTCCATGCAGCTACAGCTGAGGTTGCAGCAGCAGCAGCAGCAGCAGCAGCAGCAGCAACAACCTTAGCTGCAGTTACCGTTGCAGGTGCAGTGTCAGCAGTCTCGGTGTTAGTGGCAGTGGCAGTGGCAGGTGCAGTGGCAGTTGCAACTGGTATCGGCACAGGAGGCTGAGTAACGTCAGTTCCCTGTGCTGGTGCAGACACACACTCAGCTGCCCTCTCCAGATTGCACCCCACTAGCGCCGTCAAAGAGTCCACTTGTAGTCTCACTGGAGGCGAGTCAGAGGCTGCTTCAGCTGCTGCTTCTGCTGCTGCTTCTGCTGCTGCTTCTGCTGCTGCTTCTGCTGCTGCTTCTGCTGCTGCTATACACTCCGACTGTCCTCTTGAATCTTGAATCATGATTCTGTGGCTGTTGTTGGTGCCGCTGATGCCGCTGGTGCGGCAGTTTCCGCTGCTGCTGCTGCTAGAGTCAAACCCGTTCCTTATCATCTCCACTCCTATCGCCTCGATGATGCTGCCGTTGCTGCCGTTGCTGCCGTTGCTGCTGTTGCTGCCGATTTTGCTGGTGCTGCTAATGCTGCTGGTGCTGCTGGTGCCACTGGTGTCACTGCTGGTGCTGCTGCTGCTAGAGTCAGATCCGTTCCTTATCATCTCCACCCCACAAGAACGGATACTCCCATTGCTGCCATTGCTTCCGTTGCTTCTGTCACTGGTATCAGAGTAGTTGCGAACCATACCAGCACCAGAAGCAGCACTAGCAGCAGCAGCAGCAGCACCCGCATGACCTCCCTCGGTCTCACCACTGCTTTCCGCCAAATCACTCCCTACCACGCTTCCCGTCAAACTTTCCACTTCATCCCCTTCAGAAGCTGACTCGTTATTGCCTTCTGCCCCCCCAATCACCGTGCTGTTGTCAGCTTCCTTAGAACCGTAGGAGATACCATCACCAATGGCGCTATCACCACGGGTTTCTGACTTGGACGGTCTAGATTGGCTGGAGAGGAGGCACATCAGCGAGGTGCCATCGCCAATGACGTGGTGAATGCTGGAAGGGAAGAGAGAGAGGCAGAGGTGATAGGGCACGGAGGGCAAGGAAGCACGAGGGCAAGAGGGCAAGAGGGCAAGAGGGAAAGAGGGCAAGGGAAGTGAAGGGAGAGAGTGAGAGGAGGCACATGAGCGAGGTGCCTTCGCCACTGACGTGGTGCATGCTGGAAGGGAGGCAAGGGAGGGGAGAGGGGAGAAGGGATGAGAGAGAGATAATTGGAAAGGAATGGGTACAAGCGCTGTAGAATCCATGCACGGGCAGTATGTGCACTGTAGAGGGGTGTGACTGTAGTCCGGTGTGACTATAGCGGGGTGTGACTGTAGGGGGTTGTGACTGTTCAAGGCACACACTTATCAGACGACAGGGGTGGAGCGAGGGAGGTGGGTGCAGATGGGCAGAAGGTGCACTGTGTGTGACTGTATATGTGTGAGACAGTAGGGAGGGTTCTCTTACCGGAAGACAGCAGTGGGGCGTGGAGTGTGGGCACACGTCGGCAGCAGGTGCACTTGCCACAACGGCTGGTTGAATTCAGGTTGACCTTTGAGTTGACTCCAAACTCACCGGAAGACAGCAGTGGAGCGAGGGATGTGCTCGCAGGTGGGCAGCAGGTGCACTTGCCACAACGGCCGGCTGAAATCGAACAGCGGAAGGGTCTGCAGCCGCACCACATGGCTCTCCACACTGCAGTGAGGCACACTATAACGAGGATCCTCTGGTGAGCGCCGATCATGCAAGATGGACGTCTGAGATTCGTCTGTGCTGCTGCAGGAGGAGCAGAGGGAAGGCTCCTGCACCACGTGGGAGGGCCAGTCCACGTGGGTGGGCACCCACATGGGTTCTCGCCACCAACCCCAATGCTCCTGATATGACACAGGTAGAGGACGGATGGAAAAACAGGAAGAGGAAAAGATAGGATGAGGCAAGATAGGCCCATGGGACAGTGGTGCGTGTTCACCCATGTGGGTACATGCAACAGCCCAGGTGCCCCTGATATGACGCCACAGGAAGGGGAAAGATAGGATGAGGCGAGGCGAGGTAGTCTTATGCGACAATGGTGGGTGAGCACCCGCGTGGGTACATGCAACAGCCCCGTGAAGTGAGGGTGTTTTTGAGACGTCTCAAAAACACCCTCACTTCAGGAAGAGGAAAGATAGGATGAGGCGAGGTAGTCTTATGCGACAACGGTGGGTGGGCACCCGCGTGGGCACCATGCAACAGCCCCGTGAAGTGAGGGTGTTTTTGAGACGTCTCAAAAACACCCTCACTTCAGGAAGAGGAAAGATAGGATGAGGCGAGGTAGTCTTATGCGACAACGGTGGGTGGGCACCCGCGTGGGCACCATGCAACAGCCCACGCGTGGGTACATGCAACAGCCCCGGTGCTGCTGGTGGTGGGAACATGCAGGTGAAGGGTAGATGTCGACAAGGGAGAGAAGACAAGTTAGATAGGCAAGCAGGCTCCTGCCCTGCACCACGTGGGAAGGCCAGTGCACGTGTATAGACACCCACGTGAGTACATTCCAGCAGCCCCGGTGCTCCTGAAATATGCACATGGGGAAGAGGCCGAATGGAGAAGGCGAACGGATAAGGCAAGTTAGGCCCATGGTAGGAATCCACACGAGCATACGGCACCAGCCCCAGTGCTCCTGGTGGTGAGTATATGCAGATGGAGGGTAGATAGCGACCAGGTGTATGTTTTTTGAGAATTCTCAAAAACACCCCAGTGCTCCTGGTGGTGAGTATATGCAGATGGAGGGTAGATGGCGGCAAAGGAAAGAACACAGAGGGTAGATGTTAGCGGAACGAAAGATGGGACAGAGAGACCCGAAGTCTTCAAGGACTCGCGATGCGGCTGGTGAAGCGGGGCTGGGAAGACAGCAGGGTGCGCGCCAGGGCAGTCAGCTCAGCTCCTGCACACCCATCATCGTGCTGCTGCTGCCCTCCTCAAACTCCATGGCCATCAGAGTGACCGTGCTCAGAGCAGGGTGTTTTGAGACGTCTCAAAATTCGAGTGACCGTGCACAGCAATCAAAGCATGGCATGACGCCTCCCATGCTGCTGCCCTCCTCAAACTCCATGGCCATCAGAGTGACCGTGCTCAGAGCAGGGTGGAGGAAGAGAGAGAAGCACAGCAATCAAAGCATGGCATGACGCCTCCCATGCGGCTGCCCTCCTCAAACTCCATGGCCATCAGAGTGACCGTGCTCAGAGCAGGGTGGAGGAAGAGAGAGAAGCACAGCAATCAAAGCATGGCATGACGCCTCCCATGCGGCTGCCCTCCTCAAACTCCATGGCCATCAGAGTGACCGTGCTCAGAGCAGGGTGGAGGAAGAGAGAGAAGCACAGCAATCAAAGCATGGCATGACGCCTCCCATGCTGCTGCCCTCCTCAAACTCCATGGCCATCAGAGTGACCGTGCTCAGAGCAGGGTGTTTTGAGACGTCTCAAAACACTCCTTCTTTCACAAACTCCATGGCCATCAGGATGACCGTGCTCAGAGCAGGGTCCAGGAAGAGAGGCAGCAAGCAACGCACCAAGAGAGACTCGACACGACTCAGCCATGAGCACTCACGATGCGGCTGGTGAAGCGGGGCTGGGAGGACAGCAGGGTTCGAACCAAGCCAGTGATCTCCGTCACTCCCATGCTCCTCCCCTCAAACTCCATGGCCATCAGGATGACCGTGCTCAGAGCTGGGTCCAAGAAGAGGCGGCTGATTGGAGACACGGGCTGGAGGTCTTCTCGCTCGTCTGGGTCTGATGGGGCACTGCTGGGGCCACGTGAATCTTCAGAGACGGCTGGAGCGCTGCTTGAAACTTCTGACTCTTCTGCACTCCTGTGAGACGTGTGGAGATTGGAGCACTCTGGGAAGAGCCTGCTGATAGGAGACACGAGGTGGGGCTCTTTAGAGCCTGCTGGGGCGCTGCTTGAATCTTCAAGGTCGGATGATGCGCTGCTTGAATCTTCAAGGTCGGATGATGCGCTGCTCGGGGCTTGCGAGTCTTCGGCTTGCTGCAGGCGTGTCCTGATACGTGCAAGAGGAGGAAGAGGAGGAGGCCATGCACACTGCGAACCTGCACCCTCGACGGATCCTCCCGCCTTCGCGTCTGCATGCCCCCCGATCCCTCTTTCGCAAGTCCACTGTACGGGACGCATTGGAGAGGTTAACGCTGAGATGAATGTCCTGTTAAAGCCTTCCTGAGGGACGCTGTGTCTCTGGAATTCAAGAAATGGCAGTTGTTGGTGGCGAATCCAGTCACCCTGTTGGTGGCCTGAGGTGCAAGTAAACGCGGAGGAGTCGGACGGGAGTTGCTGGAAATGTTTTGAGGCGTCGAATAGTCGTTCAACGACGGGGTTGGAAACACGGGTTTTTAAAGGATAGGTGGGTAGGCGCAGGAGAGCAAAGAACCCTTAGCGGGGATTGCTAGCCTTTCACTGTTTTCCTTTGCAGCGAGACAAAAGAGTGAATGTAATTTCTGTCAACGTCTGCAGTAATGAGAAAACGAATTATGGTTACTATTTCCACTACAAATGACCAGAGCGGTGTTTTGATTCTCCTAGAACTGAGAAAGTGACTGGTGCTGCTGAAGATGATGAGAGGGGACTGAAGGGCATACCAGCAACGCTAGTAAGAGAGGGGGGGGGAAGTAACCAAATCAACCGACGATAGTAAGAGAGGCGGTCAGATGCCGCCTAAGATTCTGGAAAGCAATTGAAAGGGATAACCTGCCTGGCATTGTGTGCAAATCGTGGGGAGAAAAGTTTCGACAGCGACTGGTGCTGTCGAAAATGCTGGAAGTGCAGTTGTGAGGTTCAATGTCGAATGTCGTGAAATTTCATTTGCGCGGTTCGAGAGAAAACATCGCGAATCCCGACACAAAACTTACGGCGAAATTCGCGATCGTGAGTTTCGAGATGTGACAGAAATTTGGGGATGGCGACATTTGGGGTCACCACCATCGAAAGCTTCGCAGCTTCGCAAGACCTGAAAATTACCCAGAGGGGGGGATGGAGATTCGAGATCGCGAGTGTCACATCAAAGCAGGCTGTTACAGCCTACAAAACACTTGAAATTGAAACTTGTGTCTGTGGCAGATGACAAAAAAAATATGCTCGACAGGAAGCTGAAGGGGGAGTGGGGGCTATATACCTGCTTGACAATAAGGAAATCCACTATTTTACTGACCAGCTTTACAGCAGTCATTGATGCTAGAAGCAAATGCGCTTCACTCGACATCGTGCAGCAAGAGGCCCAACCACCACAACAGACTGTGGAAAGGCATCCTGCGCCATCAGTGAGATGGAGCCAGCCTGCATAAGCCTTGCAATGAAGAGCGCCAACTTAGCTGCATCCAGGGGTCCTCCCAACAGACCATCAAATGCGTCATAAGAGCGAAGAAACAAGTGAGTGAGGGGAAGGCACAGGGTATAAGGGGACGGCAGAGTTGGAAAAGGGTGGATGTGAGTGAAAACTAAAAACAACAGTAGATTCCATCTCATCGTAACCAGCAAAATACTGGTAGGACATGGACCTGCATCAACAGCCACCATCCAACTTGGGTGACCCAAAGACCAGATGCTGTCTCATATCAGCGAAGTGGCAGCATTACAACATCCACCCACATCACCTTGCCGCACTACTGCGTCAATCTTCATGCTCTGGCAACAAGAGAGAGTGGTAGGAGACATACTAACTCCAGTTGTTTTTTAGGTTGAGAAAATAAGAAATGCTGAACGGGTGATTGGCTGCAGCAGCTCGCTAAATCCTGACAGAACTTCCCAACCAAACTTCACAGGCTTCCCAACATCGGCGTGCATGTGGCGTGCCCATCAGCCTCCACTGCTGATGCCTCTTTCAATGTGTGCAGCTCGCTCCAGCTAATTTTCCTGCAACTTTCATGCTTCATCTCCAAAATCCTGGCTCCCACAAATGTCCCAAAACTGTCCCGAAAGAGAGTTTCGGGATAGTTTTTGCACCCATCCCGAAAGTCTCTTTCGGGAACAACTCCGGTACTGTTGGAAGGCTCCTGTATTTGTTCCGCAAGACTCATCCCCGCCATCCCGAAAGTGTTCCAGAGGACCATTTTGGACATTTTCGGGACCCTTTGGGGAGGGATGCAAAAGACATGTGGAACCAATCACCGAGCTTATACACACGTGTGGGGTTCGAAAGAGAGCGGCGCGGGGCCACAAGTACTGGGCATGCGCCGCGACCAAAAAACGGGTTTATAATTAACATACGGTACATTAACTACACCTACTGTTTGATGGGTAACACATATCGATACAATAAAAAAAACTATCACAATCAGGACGCTAAGCGTTATTAAACGTTGCTATGACAAACGATATTAAAAAGGTCCGTTTCACCCTAAACTAGCGGCGAATAATCCACGGGCTTGCATCCCCGCTATCGGCAGCACGGGTTCCAGCAAAGCACTCCGGCCTAAACTCTTCAAGCCCGCTCTCGTTAATGTACAGCCCCTTATCCCCCCAACGGTACGCCCTAACCCGGGGGTCGTACCACTGCCCCCTAGCCAGCCGCAACCACATCTGCACCACCTCCCACACCAGCTCAGTGGCCGTTTCCATGCACCTCTCCATCTCCAATGGGCTGCCACTCAGGTGCACTGTGTTGTCCCGCATGTTCTGGAGGCCAAAGTCCACCTGGAAAAACAGAGCAACCACAACACAAATAATGCTTACTGTAAGCCCTTCAACATAAAGGATATTTGCAACTGACGACACTTACGGACATCATCACCCACGCGATGTGGTATGGGACGAGCACCATGCACTTCCCTCGCTCCCACTCAGGGTAAGCCGCCACGCAGGCCTTGTAGAAAATCTCATTGATGAAGGGCCGACGGTCGCCCTTTATGTGAGTCCATACCGAAATTTTAAATCCCATGTGTGGCTCTGCAAACAAAAAACAGAAGGCGGGTATGTGGCGTTTAGGTTTGAATATAGAGCCCCCCTCACCGGCCGTCACGTCAGCATTACTTAGCTCCACTGTACTAGGTTTTACTGTAAGCAAATCACCCCACTGCACACCTACCTATAATGCTGAGACCCTCACAAGTCTTCAAAACCTGAAACACTCCCCCCCCCTCCCCCCAATTGGGGTGCCCCCAGCCCTTCCCATTCCCGCATCCCATGATACATCATGCGTCTTACTCTGCCCAATCTTCCCCCAAATGCACTTCTTCGCTTTGGGAGTTAGAGCCATCTTGTACTTCCCAGACGACCGTGCATCGATCCGCAGCGCTCGGTAGATGTAATGACGCGCGTCCGTCGACGATTCATTCCTGAACTTCGTCCACACGTTCCCCACCACCCCACTGTATGCAGTGTCATCCATCGCCACCTTTATGTCGATTGCCACCATGTCATAGTGCCTCCGCAGAGCAAGTAGAAGGGCCTCGTTCCTAATGCTGTTCTTTGGGAAGTAGGTGACCGCCCATGCCGTGGTGTGACGAAGCTGTAACTCCATTGCATGCTTGGCGTATGCCTGTGGGATCGATAGGGAGGGAGAGGATGGAGGGAACACGGGAGGGAGGGAGGGAGGGAGGGAAGGTGGCAACCCCACAACTCACATGGGTCGAGACGAGCAGGTGGCAGATCGAGCAACCAAGGGGTTTAGGGGCCAGAACTAGCAAACAAGGGCAGAACGCGCAAGCACGAGCCAAAAAGTGCCTTAGCAAGGGCCTGCTCGAGCAAGGATGGGGCAGAACGAGCAAGCAAGAGGCATAACAGGCGAGCAAGGGGCTGAACGAGCAATCAAGGGGCAGATTGTGACAACCACAGGGTTTAGGCGGATCAACCCCTCGCCTGCTTGAGCAAGCAACGGCCTGCTCGAGCAAGCATGGGGCAGAACTAGCAATCAAGGGGCAGTACGAGCAACCACGAGGCAGAACTAGCAACAAAGGGGCAGAACAAGCAATCAAGAGGCATAATGAGACAATCCAAGGGTTATGCGGAGGACGCATGGGCCTGCTTGAGCAAGCAAAGGGGCTGAACGAGCAAGCAAGGGGCAGAACGGGTTGACAAGTGGCAAAACGCACAAGCAAGGGGCAGAGCGAGCAGGCAATGGGCATAACGCGCAATCAACTGTCAGGACGAGCAAGCAAGAGGCATAACAAGTAAGCAAAGGGCATAATGAGCAAGCGAGGGGCAGAGCGAGCAAGCGAGGGGCATAACTAGCAAGCAAGGGGCAGAACGAGCAACCTTGATGCAGAACTAGCAACAAAGAGGCAGAACAAGCAGGGTTGGGGCAGATTGGGACAAACAACGGGTTTAGGCGGATCACGCAAGGGCCGGCTCGAGCAAGCATGGGGCAGAACGAGCAAGCGAGGGGCAGAACGGGCTGACAAGTGGCAGAACTAGCAAGCAAGGGGCAGAGCTAGCAAGCAAGCGGCAGAACGAGCAACCGACGGTCAGGATGAGCAAGCAAGAGGCATAACGAGTAAGCAAGGGGCAGAATGAGCAACCGAGGGGCAGGGGGAGCAAGCGAGGTGAAGTACGGGTTGACAAGTGGCAAAACTAGCAAGCAAGGGGCAGAGCTAGCAAGCAAGCGGCAGAACGAGCAATCAACGGTCAGGATGAGCAAGCAAGAGGCATAACGAGTAAGCAAGGGGCAGAAAGAGCAAGCGAGGGGCAGGGGGAGCAAGCGAGGGGCAGTACGGGTTGACAAGTGGCAAAACTAGCAAGCAAGGGGCAGAGCTAGCAAGCAAGCGGCAGAACGAGCAACCGACGGTCAGGATGAGCAAGCAAGAGGCATAACGAGTAAGCACGGGGCAGAATGAGCAAGCGAGGGGCAGGGGGGGCAAGCGAGGGGAAGTACAGGTTGACAAGTGGCAAAAATAGCAAGCAAGGGGCAGAGCTAACAAGCAAGCGGCAGAACGAGCAACCAACGGTCAGGATGAGCAAGCAAGAGGCATAACGAGTAAGCAAGGGGCAGAATGAGCAAGCGAGGGGCAGGGGGGGCAAGCGAGGGGAAGTACAGGTTGACAAGTGGCAGAACTAGCAAGCAAGGGGCAGAGCTAGCAAGCAAGCGGCTGAACGAGCAATCAACGGTCAGGATGAGCAAGTAAGAGGCATAACGAGTAAGCAAGGGGCAGAATGAGCAAGCGAGGGGCAGGGGGGGCAAGCAAGGGGCAGTACGGGTTGACAAGTGGCAAAACTAGCAAGCAAGGGGCAGAGCGAGCAAGCAAGCGGCAGAACGAGCAATCAACGGTCAGGATGAGCAAGCAAGAGGCATAACGAGTAAGCAAGGGGCAGAAAGAGCAAGCGAGGGGCAGGGGGAGCAAGCGAGGGGCAGTACGGGTTGACAAGTGGCAAAACTAGCAAGCAAGGGGCAGAGCTAGCAAGCAAGCGGCAGAACGAGCAACCGACGGTCAGGATGAGCAAGCAAGAGGCATAACGAGTAAGCAAGGGGCAGAATGAGCAAGCGAGGGGCAGGGGGGGCAAGCGAGGGAAAGTACAGGTTGACAAGTGGCAAAACTAGCAAGCAGGGGGCAGAGCTAGCAAGCAAGCGGCAGAACGAGCAACCAACGGTCAGGATGAGCAAGCAAGAGGCATAACGAGTAAGCAAGGGGCAGAATGAGCAAGCGAGGGGCAGGGGGGGCAAGCGAGGGGCAGAACGGGTTGACAAGTGGCAAAACTAGCAAGCAAGGGGCAGAGCTAGCAAGCAAGCGGCAGAACTAGCAATCAACGGTCAGGATGAGCAAGCAAGAGGCATAACGAGTAAGCAAGGGGCAGAAAGAGCAAGCGAGGGGCAGGGGGCGCAAGCGAGGGGAAGTACGGGTTGACAAGTGGCAAAACTAGCAAGCAAGGGGCAGAGCTAGCAAGCAAGCGGCAGACCGAGCAACCGACGGTCAGGATGAGCAAGCAAGAGGCATAACGAGTAAGTAAGGGCCAGAATGAGCAGGCGAGGGGCAGGGGGGGCAAGCGAGGGGCAGTACGAGCAACCTTGATGCAGAACTAGCAACAAAGAGGCAGAACAAGCATTCAGGGGCCAGATTGGGACAAACAACGGGTTTAGGCGGATCACGCAAGGGCCAGCTCGAGCAAGCATGGGGCAGACCCGTCATCGGTTGGGGCAGAACGAGCAATCAACGGTCAGGACGAGCAAGCAAGAGGCATAACGAGGAAGCAAGGGACAGTTTGGGACAATCGAAGGCATTTATATTGAGAAATGGCTTCCCTCACCACCACTGGCGGAACTATACAGCAAGGGCTCATTTGCGGGCAAGCGTTCAGTGGCCATACACTCCTTACTCTCCTAACTCACATATATGTGCACTATTGGGGTTTATGCACAGAAGACGGTGACTCACCCTGAATGGCTTGGGTTTAGGCATTGAGCGCGGTAGACCGGGGACCCGCTCTTCCGGGTCGTAGTCAACCACAATGATAATGCTTTCGTCGCCCCTGCCCCGCTTCCCGCCAAAACGCCAAGGCCCCTCCTCGTAATGCTGAGAGGACATGTTTCTGCCATGGGTATTGCCCTGCCTGTCGAGGATAGGTTCATCGGTCCTCCCCATTCCATGGCTCCCACCGCTCCCCAAGTCATCCTGCCTGGGTGGGAGCTCGGTACGGAGAAGAGACTCCAGGGGGTTTGAGAATAGCATACGCTTCAGGGGCCGCGCATCCAGTGTGCTGGGACGGTCACCATCATCCTCACGGCTTTCCGGTTGCGTGATTGGGGATTCAAGGAGCGGATCATACATCAGCGGATTCGACGGTAAGTGGGGTGCATCCTTCATGTCGGAAAGCCGCTGCCTATCCTTCCGCACACCTGAAGTGCCCTTGGACGCGGGGTTGTCAGGGCTTTCACAGTCTGCCCTGACGGTAGCGGCCACCTGGGGTTTCCGGGAGGGTGTTGCGGCTGGCTTGGTGACGGCCGGAACGGGCGGCTGACTCTCGACAACGGCCACAGCGGGTTTTTCCACATTTTGCCCCGTTTGACCCTCCGGCTCCTCTTGCCTCTTAACGACTTGCCCGCTGAGCTGGGCTACTTTCCCCATCAATGCCCGCAGCTCCGCCTCCAGTGTCGCAATACGGCTTGCATCGTTGTTCGACCCGCTATCCACCCGCGCGCCCTCAGGGGTTTCACCGCCGGCAGATCCGGCCACGCCCGACCCCCGAGCAGGAGCTGCCTCTTCGCGGCGAGCCGGCGTATGGTTTGCCGGGACCTGAGAGGGAGAAGAGCTGGCACGGGCAGACCGGGGAGAGGTGAAAGGTGCCCTTCCTGGAGAGCAGAAGGCCCCGCTGGCCATGGAACTACTCGGCAGGGACGGCAGAGTGTGAGGGATTGACTCCTGCTTGACCTGTCGACTTTCCGAGCGATGACTCGGTGCATTTTTTGTAGCAAATTGCGGAAAGGGGGGGGGGGGGGGTTGGCAACTCAGCATGCTCATGCACGCTGGCATCATGCGCGTGTACTACAGGCCCAAAGCTTGACCGGGGCGTGTGATTGATGTCCACCTTGTGCCTTGGTGGCTCCGCCGCCAAAGGTACAGGGTCACTGCTTCGAGGTGGCGTTTTAGCCTTGACCTTCTGCGGCACCTCTTCCACATCCACCGAAGCCCCGTCTTCGCTGCCATCGTCGCCGAACTCCAGCCAGCTCCAGACTTTGTTCAATATATGAGCAGGGATTGGCTCATCATCCTCCTCCGCATCGGCCCCATCGTTCGGTAGGGTCGACCCCCCTGGCGTTACCGCGTTTCCTGGTGACTGCAGCCCACCGTAGAGCACGGTTGGCATGAACTCGTCGTCGCTCCCTGTCTCCAGCGTCCCCGCCTCCGCGCACATATTCACGTAATTATGTCGGGTCGCCTTTCCCCGTTCAGTGTGAGGTATGATTCGCCTAACCGTCGCCATGGGATCGGCCGCGTGTTTCTTGGCCGACTTCCTTGCTCCACGACACTTTTTCGCCTTTGTGTCGACCACGGCCTCGTTACAGATTGGAGTGCCTGGAGGGTAAGCGTGAGGGGGGGAAGGGCGTTCGGTGTCTGAATCGGTCACCAAGTCGACATCCGCGGCGACCCAATCTTCCCCCTCAGACGCGCTGCCGTCAGATTCAGAGTTCCCAGCAGGTGCAGATTCGTCGTCCGTGTCAGCATCTGTGCACGGCGAACACACTGGCACTGTGTACAGCTCGGCGTTGAACTCGTACCACGACTCCGGATTTCGATCCTCACTCCTCGCCCATCCAACCTCTGTGTTCCCGCTCTTGGCTGGATCAGTCCGAATATTTTTATCCTCTGCGCATTCCACGTCCCCCACGTCAATATCTGGCAAACAAACGCGTTAAATCGATACAGCGCAGGTCAGCCGTTGGCGGGCTTGTGACGCTAACACAAATGCAACGAAGTCAGCAACGCGAAATCTCACCTTTTTTCGCTGCGTTCTGCGCTATGACCTCCTGCTCCCCCACCTGGGTCTGCTTGACGCGGCTACGACGATGCGCGCTTTGCTCTGCACGGACGGTGTGAAACGGTATACCGTAAGGGTATCGTACAGGAGCTTCTCGGTCGGCCGCCACTGTTGCGTACAGTCGTCTACTGTCATGTGGCGCCAAGTGTCCAGTCTTCGCCGGGTAATTCTCCCGGTATGCTAGTACGAGGGCTCTAACCTCCAAGACCTCCGCGGCCCACTTAGGGTCTATGGGCCTGGCTCTAGCCGTCGGAATAACAAAGTCCTTAAGATGGTCGGGTACCCTCTTATATCGTAACGGTCGACCGTGCGGGGTAGACATCCCTGGGGATACTTAAGCATATGTATGCATAGTATATCCTGGCAAGGTGTTTGGCGAGTGATGATGGAAAGCGATCGAGTTGATTTTGAGACACAAGGAACTGAACAGAACTTCGAGCAAATTATAATGAAGGGAGGGGATCGTAACCAGTTGTTTAGTCGGCCGTAGATTATCGTGCTGTCTAACTACGGTCAACCGTGGATGGGACAGACCCGGCATCGGTTATGTGGTTGGGACAACTCCTCCCTGTGTAACACTTTGACGAGTCGCAAGGCTGCGCAACATCCAAGCCGATGACAGATGCTGTCTTGGAGGCCAGCCGTCCATTATATGCGTACGAGAGTAGCCCGTACCGTTACCGGGTCTCCAAACCGCAAAATCCAGGTTCGGACGGACGAACCTTAGCCTCGTGACCAAAGCCGTGGCATCGCTTTCAAGTGTTTGGACCTACCTTTACTGGTAGGTCCGAAAGAGGATGGGAGCAATTTTACACGTGTACTTTCACAACCTAGCTGGCAAGTTGACTGCCACGCATTGTTAGACCCGAGATTGGACACGATATTGGTGACGCCGTTTAGGCCAACAAGGGCTCGTCACGACCAACAAGAGGAGTATGTAGAAACTTACCAACCATTTGCGCTGTTGGCTTTTTTCAAGTCCCGCTACCCTCTGGATGCATTAGGGTTAAGCTGATTACTCGCGACACGTGGGAACATGGCGTCCGATCACCAAGAGCAGCAGGAAGAGCCCGAACATGGCCCGTCTTTTAACTACATGATGCCATTCCCCCTTGGGAGCAGCTGGTTATCCATGACACTGGAACATGCCCACACTCTACTAGACAGAGAGTGGGTAGGGGGCAATGTTATCGAATGGTTTGGCGCGTGAGTATCTTCCATACGCCCGCTTTGTAGTACCCACGTTATGGTTGTCCTAGGCTGATACTAATCTATCACAAACACACCCTGGAATCCTGTGTGGCAGCATGTTGCAGTTTCAGCACGGCATGGACGACAAGACGTGGTGTTACGTGTCGACTATGTTCTACCCCACCATTTCGGCGCCAAAGCGCAAATGGCCGTGCGGGAACATCGTACATGGGGAGAACCTGCTCGAATGGAAGTGGGTTCTCATCCCTATTCACTTCGAGTACGTTGCTAGAGCGTTTTATAGTCGCTGCCCATGCCTTTCATAACGCCAAAATCCCCGTACCCCCCACCTGAGAAAATATGAACGACGGCGGCGGGCTGTAGTGGGGCCGACGGCGGGCGGTAGCAGGGCCGACGGCGGGCTGTAGCAGGGCCGACGGCGGGCTGTAGCGGGGGCGACGGCGTGCCGACGGGGTCTAGGCGGGGCCGACGAGGGGCCGTAGCGGGGCCTAGGCGGGCCGACGGGGCCTAAGCGGGGCCGACGCGGGGCCGTAGCGGGACCTAAGCGGGGCCGACGAGGCCTAAACGGGGCCGACGCGGGGCCGTAGCGAGGCCTAAGCGGGGCCGACGAGGCCTAAGTGGGGCCGACAGGGCCTAAGCGGGGCCAACGAGGGGCCGTAGCGGGGCCTAAGCGGGGCCGACTGGGCCTTAGCGGGGCCGACTCGAGGTCGTAGCGGGGCCGACGGGGCCTACGCGGGGCCGACGAGGCCTAAGTGGGGTCGATTAGGGGCCTAAGTGGGGCCGACGAGGGGCCTAAGTGGGGCCGACGAGAGGCCTAAGCGGGGCCGACGAGGGGCCTAAGCGGGGCCGACGAGGGGCCTAAGCGGGAGCACGGCGGTAAGGGCGACACGGAGGGTCGCTAAAAAAAAACGCGCGCCTCGGGGCGCGCTTCGGTGGGCCCTAGGAACAGTCCCTAGGAAGGGACCTGCTCTGATTCCATGAGAAAATATGAACGAGAATGGAATGACTATGAACAAAGTGAGTACAAATAGCAAACCCTAATTGGGTTGTACCCCCTATGGGATACCCCACTATAGCCTACAGAAACAAGTAAGCTATATGTTCTGACACCACCCCCCCCCCCCCCCCCCCCCCCCCTACGCCCGTCCGTCCGTCGCCGTTTGATAACACCGGGTTTAGTCTGTTTCGCTCCAGCGATCACTGGAGCCTGCTGATTCTAGACAACGATAACGCACCTAAGGAAGGTGCCCTTCCCAAGCCAACCAGATTTCTACATGCCGACTCCAAGAAAATGCACAAGGGGTTTGAACGTCATGTGGCCAGGTAAATCAAATGGATCATATGGGTGCATGCAGATTCGTATCACCAAATATACGGGTAAGCTACAAGCTCCTGTGTTGCGCTATCGTCGCAGATTCTTACGGGAGCAAGTCACTTCACTCTACCCCGACGCGGACGAGTCACTGATCGACGATTGGATAGCAAGAGTGGAGTACGTGAAGCCCAAGGTACCACAGGCCTTTTGACTACATGATCGTATCTAATCCCCGACGTATAGCGTCACCGTTTCTCCCACCCTCATACGCATCCTCCTTTTCACGCATTGCAGGTGACTCTTCAACGCAACTATCACGACTGTGGTGTGTACGTCATGAAATATATGAAGGCCTTAGTTGAGTCGAATTTTGAGTGCATTGAGGAAATCAAACTGTTTGGCAAATCGGCAGACTGGCGGAAGGAGATTTTCCAGGACTTGTTTGACTGGAGTGCCTTCTACAAGGATCACCTACGGCGTAAAGGTAAAGTGGTGATCAGTTGAATGAGGAGCAGTGTTGTAGTGTTGATGTATTTGTGAATCTTGTGTTGTGCTAACACGATATCAAATAAGTAAAGGGTTTAGCATGTCAGTTTTATAATTAACTCTTTAGTTTGGTGCATGTGGCTTTTTCTTGACATGTATCACTCAGATACAACCTGCTTACTACATGGTGAAACCATGTCCTTCTTTCATTATGCAACAGTATCTAGAGAAACGGGAATAATGGCCCAGATCGAACCAGAAGGTGCTGTTATGTGTCTAGCAATTAGTCGAAACCCTAGCTCACGCACACCCTCCGCCACCCTTCTGTTGGAACGCCTGACATCCAGTCCGCCAATGGCGGAGCGTCTTAGGTCGCAAGCTACGAACGCCCTATACAGCGCAGGACGGATTGGGCGACGTCGCGGACCAATAGAGATTGTTCCGGACTCCGAGTATCCTGATGCGCGCGACGCCGCGGACTTGCCACCCTCGTGCATCCGATATGCTCCGCGGGCTCGTGAGGCATCGCCCGAAAAGAGCCACGAGAGTCTGATGATGGAAGGCCGGGAACAGGAGGAAAGCGGCGAAGATATGCCCCCAGTAGATCCTAGACCCGATGCACAACATCACGCTGACGCGGAAGGCGATGAGACTCAAGAGGACTCTCATAATGCATGGAACAACGTACTGAACACTGATCACGATGATCATGCGCCAACTGGCAACAACGATCGTGTCACTGCAGATCATCATGCCGGGGCGATCCATCCCGAGAGGACAGGTCAACCACTCCCTACCGTCGCCCGTGACCCGCATAACCCGGTCTCAAGGCCTTACCCGGTACCCTCTGACCATGCGCCACCGGCACATCCGGCTCGTGAGTGCTTCAACATTATGCGATGACCATATATATGGCGGTCTCTCATGTCACTGCAATCCCTGATGTGCAGAGAACGCGCCGCCACCTGCGCCGTCACCTGATGAGGAGGATACCACGGCGCCTGTTAACATAACATCTCCGACCCCTGGCAGCCACATCGCCAGTGAGTGAAAACATCCCCGGTACGTAGATGTCTACAATGAAATCATTTTCTCTGTGTATGGTCTGAGTGTCCAGCGTAACCTGCCGCAGGTAACAATGATGGACCCGGCACTACACACGCTATTTGACATATGCGTGTGCGTCGCACGGATCGCACGGATACAATGCAGCGCACACGTCGCTTGACTGGTAACTCTCCTTGAACGGTTCACCCTTATCCCTTCGTACCTTCTATCTTGCCCTCACCGTTGACGTAGGAAACTAACCCACCTGGCCCTACATCATCGCCCAGGTGACCACCGCCAGCAGGATCTTCAGCCACCACGCCAAGTTGCTGGTCCTAACAACCAGGGACCCAGAGATGGTTGGACATTGTCGTGTGCACACGGCCCAATATAGGTCCACCATATGGGTTCTCACAGTCGTTTCTGTTGATATACAGGTGTGGATGGGCCAGAATATTTCTCCATGTTCAGACAGTGGCTAGACATATCTCAAGTGCTGCTGCCTTACCACATCGTGAAGCGTCGGCGCCAGTATCTTGATTAACAGCAGGGTCACCATTGTTGATGCGTCGCGAACCTTGCTTGAGTTTAGGACATGTTCTGGTTTGCAACTTAGGGGCCTGTTTTAGATGTGCTTGTTGGATCAGAATTCCCTTATGCTTGTTTAACATCTTCTGTCAGCTGCCCTGCAACGGTGTACTACACACTAAAGAGAGCCAAATCTGCACATTTCTTTCTGTAGTCCCACTTCAACCGAATTGTATAGCTATATCACCTTAGCAGCAGTTTGGGTTATAGCGAGATACTGTACAGCGAGTTGGTTCCCGCGCGGGTCAGGAAGATCCTTTTGCGTTCAGATTAGCTATGATCCGCGTCATACCTACTCTCAACAACGCTGTGTGTTAGAATCCAGACATGCCTTGGCTAGATTCCAGCGTGCTAGAATCCCCTCACCCATTCTGAAACGTGCCACCGTACGCTGCATGATCCGACATGCCGCGCGAGCAATGCGAATGGTGCGGACGCACCTTCCGAAACAACCAGCGCATGTGCCAGCATCAGAATGCATCTCGCCATTGTTTGCAAGAGCAGGCAGCTAGGCGATCGAGAGGGTTTGTTCACGGGCACTACTGGCACGGTCCGCTAGAGCGAATGACGGTGGACGCTCCTCCACCGTGTGCGAAAACCCCTGGTGGTGTCGCCTCCTCATCTGGTCCTAGCTCAGGCGGCGAGTCTGTTAGATCTGATGCAGCTGACGTGGATGCAGAGTCACTGCCAGATGCGCCCTCTGTCGCAGGCTCCGACGAGTCGGCAAGCGAGCTCGATGTCCGGATCGAACTTGCTTACATTATGCGTAAGTACTATCTCCCTAACACTGCCATTACTAAAATCATTCGTCTGTTTAAGAGCAAGAAATGGGTTGTGTCTGATCTAGAGTTCTGGGACACTTACCGAGATCTGGAGGAGTTTGAGAAGGAGTTCGTGCCCGGGGATGAAGCGTGGGAGGCGGTCGATCTGGAATTGGAGGGTGATTTCGGGACCGTTACGTTCCGCTACCGGCCCGTTATCCAGGTATGGGGTTACCGATCCTTTGTGACGTATGGTACGTATGTGATCCGTCCTTTTAAAGTGGCGCGGTACGTTCCACTTACCATATGCAGGTACTCCTGAAGATTTGGGCTAAAATGTCAGGGGTCGAGGGATTTGCTACGCATCCCGTTACCACAAAGGATGGCGAAGTGCGGCGGTACACCAGCCCAGTGGATACAGACTGGTTCCACCTTGCAACGGTAACTATCATGTATGCTCCTATGGGTGTCCTCGTTCCAATCTCCCTCTCCGAGGTATGCATCGCCCGGTTATGACCTTGTCCGATGGTGTAATGTGCGGCAGAATGCTCTCAAGGGGATAGCCATAGTGGCAGGGATCCTGCTTTTTAGCGACTCCACGCACCTGACGTTTAATGGACGCCAGTTTGCGCATCCACTGCTAATGTCCCTGATAAACATCCCCGAGGTGTTTCGGTGGTTGTTGGGGGGTTCGGAGATGATCGCGTTGTTTCCGAGCCTGCCATCGGACATGTCAGCAGAACAGAAGACCGCCGTGATGCAGAAGATGTTGCGCATCGTGCTTGGCCCGATCATGGATGTTTCAACGCTGGAGAGGTAAAGGATCATGTACATCTCCATGCGGTTTTTAGTAGCTAAACAGTCCTTAACCCTAATAGATGTACTTCAATTCACAGCGGAGGGGTGCAGGTCGTGGATCACGCGGGCAGGCAGTACACCGTGGTACCCATGCTTGCGAGGTGGGCTTGTGACCACCCGGAATCGAGCAAGCTTACATGCACCATGGCGGCCACGTCCAATAAGCCGTGCTCCATGTGCACCGTAAGCAGATGGGATTTGACGAAGGTGGTTGCCAAGTTGACGCCACGCACCGTTGCAGACCAGCAGCTACTGCACGAGGACATGACAAGGAGCACGGCGGAGGAGCGAGACTAGCTCAAGCAGGCGTGGTCTACCCACTTTGTGGCGGTGAGTTAGAGTGTCTTGCACATGTGGATGTTAACGTAATCCTTGTGAACCATGCCGCATCGTCATAGTCTCTAACACATCCCCGAAATGGCAGTGTGCCCTTTGGGATTGGGGTTATGTCAAAACCACGTGGGGCAACCTGTATCTGGCCATCAGCGTCTGCCTTCTCCACGTGGTGGACGAAGGTCTGTGGGTGCATACGATGCGCTGCCTGCTTGGCCTGCTCACGCCGACGGAGAAGCGACTCTTGCTCACGTGAGTTAGCGCTAGCTTAGTAGGCAGGTCTTGTGCGTTTTGCTCTCTTTACGTGGTGCTCATGTGCCTAGAGGATGTGCATCTTGGCGTATGTGCAGGCATTGCAAGGTCATTGTAGGTGAGACGCCAGGGGGTATCCTTCGACTTCCCAATATCATCACCTACTTTCGGACACTTGCACACTACGCTGCATGGGAGCACCGGGCGATGATGCAGATCGTGCCGTTGCTCGTCCACCTGCCGGGCCGTGAGGATGTCGGGGCGGCGATGGTGATGTTCAACGAGTGGTACCAGGCATACTTCAGGGTCGAGTTCCATACAGAGGAGTCGCTCGAGCAGTGCATCTCGAGAACCGGGGAGTAAGGCTTGACCACTGATTTACGCACCGGTATAGTCTTAAACCGCAGTACGATTGTTTTGCCGTGCTAGCCTCCCATCCATGTTGGCTTGTTAGTTAAACACCAAACGTGCCAACCCTCATGTTGATCGGGACCTTGGTGCGGGTGTTTCCCAACCAAAAGTCACATTGGCTCCTCATAAAGGTGCACCTCCTTGCGCATCTCCCCGATATGATCCGCACCCGGGGACTGCCCAAGGAGTACTCCACCAACTTCGGTGAGGCGTCTCACAAGACGATGGTGAAACGCCACGCTAGGAACACCAACTGGCGCGACGTGGGTCGGGATATTGCAGTGCGCCATGAGCGCCTGGCGGCGATCACCGCAATGGCCAAGGAAGAGAGCGGGGGGAAGACATACGAGACCGCCATGCGCTTGGTGAGTACGGGTGGTGGGCTCCAACATACAGACCATAACCATGTAACAAGGTGACCCGTGAAGCACTATGGTACGTGGGCCTGATGGTGTGCGTGACTGTGCCGAGTGTTTGACATGAGTGTGTGACAGTATGGGGCGCCAGTGATAAGCGGATCAGAGTTGGGATTGAAGTGCAGGGAGTGAAGGGGAAGGGGTTGATAAGGGCGTTACTCTCGTATGAGAGGCACGGGGCTGATTCGCAGTAGAGAAGAGGCAAGAAGTGCAGAGGACGTCCGAGAACATTAGGGTTGAGAGGTGAGGTGACGGTTTGCGTGGGTTACTGGACTGAGAAGTCAGATAGGGGGACAGGAGGGTTAGCGGTTGGGATGGGATTTTGTGAGCGAGAGGAAGAGGGGAGGGTTAGCATGAGGGATGGGATGGGATGGGATGTCCGAGACGGGAAGGGGTGGGTTAGCGGGAGGGATGGGATGGGATGTCCGAGACGGGAAGGGGTGGCACGGGTTGGGATGCCTGAGAAGGCGAGGGGTGGGGCGTAATGAGGGACGGGATTGGATGTCTAAGGAGGGGAGAGGTGGGTCGACATGAGGGATGGGATTGCATGTCTGAGAATGGAAGTTGGTTGGTGGAGGCCGGTGTGTGGGTAGGGGAGGGGAGCGGGAGGGATGATATGGGAAGGGATGGCCTGTTTGTAGAGTGGAGAGTAGGGTTCACAGTATGGACGGGATTGGATGTTGAGGAAGGGGTGGAGAGGGTTCGCGGGATGACGTGTGTTTGGATTCCTGTGTGTGGGCAGGGGTATTCTTGTGTTTGGGATGTATGTCCGGGAAAAGGAGAGGAAGGGGTTGGCGGGAGGGATGGGACTGGATAACTATTGTGTGCGGGAGGCATGGCCGGGCTGCCTTTGAGACCATGGTATAATGTTATGTTCACTAAACCCTTCGTTTCTCCATGCATTTCTTATTTCTGTATTGGTACAGGCCATAGAGCGGCATCAGCGGGTGCTCACCAAGACGAGCAGAACCATGACTGTCGGGGAACCACACGACAGCGCATGGACTTCCTACAAGCTTGCGCTGGGTGAAGATGTGATGCGGAGGTTCTCGGGGGAGCTGGTTCGGGCGGGGATCGTGGTGTCGACCCTGCAGGTGAGCATTAACTCATCGTACGCCACAAGGAGGAAATGCAAGGAGTACGTCCAGCACCCACTATCATGAGCCCACTAGCCAACACGCCAGCCACCTTATCTCACCGCATTTCGGCTGTTAATACTGACCGTTGACTTCGTGGTAGAATCAGGTAACTTACAGCGCATAACCCGTAACCCGTATTCACGTGGTGACAACGCCCCCCCCCCCCCCCCCCCCCCCCCGTTCCCCCCCCCAACGCTCATCCTCCTCCATGCATCTGTCCCATCTGTCGTCACCCACAGGCCAAGATGCCGGGCTGGATGGTGTGTAAGGGCAGTACTCCTTTGGATTACGCAGGGTGTGAGGTACCCCACCTAAACATGATGGTGCCGGTACCCAAATCCATGCAGGCTGGACGAACTTAAGCGTTCAGAACACAATGAACTCCTTCTATAAGCATGTATCCATTTGTCTCAGAACCCCTCCCACCACCGTCAGAGCACGTGGCGTGGCGTTTCCGAGGCCTTGTGACATTGCAGTGGTGCCATCCCTGAGCCTATTTTTTTCCCCCACCATTGCGTTACTTGTCCACACATAGGTGCACTCGGCCGTTGCGATTCCACCGCACACGCGGATGGACACCAGAGACCACGGGCAGTTGGTGAAGGCTGCCCCTGATGAACGCAAGTTCAGCAACATCCGCATCCAAGGGGGCGGGGCTAAGTGGTACGGCAAGCTCCTAATTCTCTTCCAGTTCACAGGGCCCGACGGTGCGAAAGTGCAGCGGGCTTTTGTGAAATACTACGATGAGGTCTCGCCACCGTGTCCCGTGACCGGGTGCTTGCGCCTTGTGCCTACGACAGGGGAGGATGAGTATTCGGTGATCGAGGTGGATAGCATCCTAGCCCTTGCGCACATCGTACCCTCTTTCACGCATGATGACATGTTGTTGGTAAATCGGTTCCTCTTCTGACATATGGGGTGATTGTTAAAACTTGCACGTATTTGCAAAGGTGTGGGCGGTAGAATGGTGGAAATACAGCTGGTGCAGTGGTAAGGAAAGGTAATCTTTGCGACCTTGTTTTTATGGACCTCTATGGTTTCCGTAAACCCAGTGCTCGCATTCTGGACAGCCATATGCCGGGTTATGCCAAATAATTGTGCAATGCGCAAATTGTAGATTATGCATTAGTATAGTGTATTATTCAAAGAATGGGCTAGGGGCATGTAAATGTGCAGGGGGGTTGATACGTTCAGGAAAACGGCATCGACCGGATTCGATCTTTCGACCTTTTGAACTACAGGAAATTTGCATGGACTAAGACACGGCGCGAACAGTGTGGTTTGGAAGCCGAGCCGAACGTTTTTAGCATGGTTTCCCCTTTTACCCTGGCACTACACGACCCTACTTTGGACAGATTGGGGAGGGAACAGTTTAGGGAAGTACTGTACCCTGTCCCGAAAGTATATTTCGGGAGCCAGGACACATTTGGGACATTCCTAGGAGACCGAATTGAGGCTTCCAGGAGCTCAGTTTTGCAAGGATGGTTCTAGGACCTCAACTTTTTGGTGATGTTCCTGGAAAATCAGCAGCCTCCGAGTCGTGGGGCCTGCATCGCGATGATGATTTCGCAACCTAACGGGATGAAGGGCCCGTAGAGCATGTAACTGCGAAGGAGCAACCGTCCGAAACGGCCAGCTTGAAAATTCTGGACGCCAAATGTGAGCAGAAATGTCTGACGGAAACCGTCTAGGATATTTTTTTTCCGAAAATTCGCGCATTACGTTGCCTACCGAGAATCGTATACGAACAAGAGGTCGTCCGGCCATTGCAAGATAGACAACAGTATGTCGAACTGTTTCACCAGCATAAGGACGAAGTCAATCGCCTCCATCATACGTTTAGGGCGCTTCACCTGTCGGTTCGAACAACACACTCGTTCGAACAGGCGAAACGTTACTCGTTTCGCCTATGTTCGTAGTGGTTTTCGTGACGTCGCGAAGCACAATTTCGCCAATTTGAACAGAGCTGTCACCTCAAGCACGATTTTCATCATCCCGCACGTTCGAACACGTGTGTTCGAACAGGTTGGGATAGGTGACACACAATTCCGCACAAACGACTGATATGATTGGTCCACAGTCTTCCGGGTCGCCCATGAACGTTTGCGACCCGGCCAGACGTCGCCAATGTTTGGGACCCAATGTTTGGCGACGTCGCTCTTTTGTGGGCGACGTCGCTGTGTTCAAACAGACCGCGTGTGCGAATAGCGATGGCGTCACCTGTGATGGCCTGTGTCACATTCGCTCATTGTACGTATTTGTGTTCGAACTCATTTGGGATACTGTTCGTACAGTCAAACTGATACGTCGGTTCGGATTTTGGCCTTCCGCCCCTCAGGTGAAGCGCCCTTAGGATGCAAATGAACATCTTTTCGAGCTAACAAACGGTAAAGCGTGGGTGGACGCGATGAAGAAGGCAGTCTGCAGAGGGAGAAAAAGGGGCAGTATTCGCGCATCACGCCATCGCGTTTCTGGAAACGTACAGCGATTCGTGAAAAGCGAAATGGCAGAATGTCATATGGGCAAAAGCGAAAAATGACATTTAGAGCTGAACAGACAAAAGGGCATTCCGTTGCCGGGACTTGAACCCGGGTCTCTCGGGTGAGAGCCGAGTATCCTAACCGACTAGACTACAACGGATATTGACATTCGTATAATAGTTATTTAATAAAATCGAATTTTACTGCCTTACGTCTCTGAGTCACTGTTTGCGACGGTTTACAGATAGGCACGAGCTTTGAGTGAACGATGCATGACCGCCCTTGTGCTGCCTGTGCTTCCGTAGTACGGATCAGAATGAGCAGGAAGCTAACGCCGATTAGGCGTGGATGATGGAGATCAACTTGATATATATTGTATAGCGTTGAGAGCATCAGTCTATGGGTGGTGATGTAGTATGGTTGTCGGCAAGGCAGTGAAAATACTGTCATTACGTCGAACGAGACCAATACAATTCGTCATACGCTCCCAACGTTCTTCAGAGGAACCCGATCTTTTGCCTAAGATTTCATGAGAATCGGCGTAAGCCATAACACAGGAATCATGCGAGGGGAAGATCGGAGCAACTTTTTGGAACCTTATGTTGAAGTGGTATTGAGACGGTGAAAGCGTCAGGCTATGGGTGGTGATGTAGTATGGTTGTCGGCAAGGCAGTGAGGACACTGCCATTACGTCGAACGAGACCAATACAATTCATCATACGCTTCCAGTGCTCTTCAGAACGAAAGAAAGAAACAGATATCACCGCTTATGATGTCATGAGAATTGACACAAGAGGGACAAGCAAGGTGGGGTAATGGAACACCTTTACTCCTTATTTGGGTAAATGATCAATGGATGGAAGCATCAGGCTATGGGTGGTGATGTAGTATGGTTGTCGGCAAGGCAGTGAAGACACTGCCATTACGTCGAACGAGACCAATACAATTCATCATACGCTTCCAGTGCCCTTCAGAACGAAAGAAAGAAACAGATATCACCGCTTATGATGTCATGAGAATTGAACACAAGAGGGACGCGCAAGGGGGGGTAATGAAACACCTTAACTCCTTATTTTGGTAAATGTTCAATGGATGGAAGCATCAGGCTATGGGTGGTGATGTAGTATGGTTGTCGGCAAGGCAGTGAAGACACTGCCATTACGACGAACGAGACCAATACAATTAATCATCTGCTTCCAACATTTATGATCGTGGGGACCATATTGTTAGGCGCGAATGCAAAGGGCAAAATATACTTCAAAGCTAAAACGCGCGAGATCGACTGGAGGTCTGGCGATGAGAACAAAGCAGGTAATGTAAAGTGAAGGCGGCGACGCCTTGAAATGCCATGGGGCTTTGCAAGAACGACGAGTGAGGGAAGGTAGGAAAAGAAACAAGCGATTCTGGGTTTGATTGAGAGAAATGAAACTTCCTGTGTCCAGAGCTAGAGATCTGTAGGCGGAAGAAAATCCGAGAACCACAGATGGGAGGTGGGGGGAGCAACAAAAATGGGTCGGCATGATCCATCATTTCCGCCTTGCGATAAGAGATCATCAAAATCCTGCACTTTGAAAGCCAACAGCCTTGCGTTCATATCCCTAAAGAAAACATTTCAAGCTTGTAAACAACATCTAATATATGCAACCACGTTCTAGCAAGAGAATAGCTCCTGTGTTCTGTCATCTCCGTTCTCAACTGATGTTTGAGTTGATTCAACAAGCTTTTTAATTCAAAGTTGCATTTGTGAATATCATGTATAATGTGAATAAAAGGACACTGGTTCACCAAGAGTGTTGTGGGACATTCATATGTCATGCAACAAGGTTTGTGCAGCCCGACTGCCAGTCAAATGATCCTAAGGGCATCTCCGTACGACCTCTTGTCAGACAGACCTCTATCAGGCTCCTGTCGCACCGCACTGGAACGCGCATAGTCGAATCAAACCGAAATAAAATGCACTGAACCATGCTATTCTGATAAGAGGTATGTCTGATAAGAGGCGCAGGAACACGCTCTCGCTGTATTTGGCAGGACCTCAGCAGCCGTTCCTGAGAAACCCGCAGCCACATGAGAAGTCAAGCACCGTGTGCTCCCTGCAAAACAAAGCAACGCGCACAGTAGCAACAACAGAACGAGCAACTCTTGTCAGAAAACTGTACAAGACAGCTCCTATCACTCAAGACTCGGTGGTAGTAGGCAGCACAAGCAGAACCAGTCATTGCATGACACTTGCGCATCAGTGTGCAGGGCGACGTTAGAGCCGGGGACCATACGCAAACTCTTGTGAGGTAGCAGGGGCCAGCATTGGATGCTCTATGGCACTTACGAATCAGTGTTCAGGGCGACATTAGAGTCGGGGCCGTATGCGAACACAAGGTGCTGTGTGCTGTGTGACACATAGAAGAGTGCAAGGAGTTGGGGCACTGTGTGCTCTTTCGCACTTACGCATCAGCGTGCATGGCGACATTAGAGTCGGGGCCGTACGCGAACACGACGTGGGCACCCCCGCTGTTCCGCACCTTCACGGATGATCCGTCACTGGCCGAGCGAGTGAACCTGGAGGCAGAAAAGCGAGGAGAAGGGAAAGGGAGAGGGGCGCACAGGTGGGGTATGTTGGGGTGATGGGAGAGTGGATCCGGGTGTGGGTGCTACCGCTGTTGTGCACCTTCACGGATGAACCGTCATTGGGCGAGCGAGTGAACTGCATTTTCAAAAGCACCAGACGGGGGACGAAGAGCTCGCTATATGCTGGTGGAGAAAGAGGGCGACCCGGGCGCCCATGACGTGGCATGGGACGACGAATTGCACCTGGAGATTGTTCTTAGTGAAAACTAACTCTATAGCAGGAGTCGCAATGACGGGGCGGGGTCTGTAAACTCACTTGACGATAGTCCCGCCCTTCTTGCCAGTGGTGACATCCAGCGAGCCGGGCGCCCGTGACGTGGCAGGGGAGGCGGCGAATTGCACCTGGAGATTTGGTACCAGGTCAAACTCACTATACACTAAAGCAAGAGTCGCAATGACGGGGCGGGGTCTGTAAACTCACTTGACGATAGTTCCGCCCTTCTTGCCGGTGGTGACATCCAGCGAGCCCGGCGCCCACGACGTGGCGGCGACGGCGGCGGATTCCCCCTGGAGATCGTACGGCGACGCGGTGCCTGTGCCCGTCTCGTACGCGACGACGTTGCTGCCGCCCATGTCGCCGTTGGGCGACCAGCCGACGGCGAACCAGCCCGCCTTGTGCGCCGCGGATCCCGGGCGCGCTTGGATGGCGAAGTGGATGTGTTTGCCCTTGGTGGCCTTCCAGTGCAGAGAGAGCCTGTAACGGGGATGAGCGGGATGAGGGTGATAAGAAAGCGAGTTCAGATGAGCGGGGATGAGAGGGATGAGGGGGCTAAGGAAGCGAGTTCAGATGAGCGGGATGGCAAAGTGGATTGTTTTGCCATTTGGTGACCTTCCATTGGAGCACCAGCCTGTAACGGGGATGAGCGGGATGAAAGGGGATGAGCGGGATGGGGAGTTTAGATGCAACATGGCGGAAAAGGGAACATTGGAACAACTCGGGACGACATCGGGATGAGCGGGGATGAGCGTGACGAAGGTGGTTCGGGGTGGAAAGAAAGTAATGAAGACAGAAAAGAAAATAAGATGACACATCAGTTCTCGTCGCTCTATCGCGGCCTGCATTGTCGCGTTATCGCGGCCTGCATTGTCGCGTACCCGTACTGGAGCTTCAACATCGAGGTATAACCCTTCAGCTTGGACTTGCCGCACATGAACCGGCCGAATGGCAAGAAAAACAAGCTGCGCCGCCATCCTGATGATCGCCCCGTCGCGGCGACCGTGGCGTTGGGAGTTAGACGCGACGCGTTCGCGAGCGGCGCGACCGCGAGAAGTAGGAGGCCGCATACGACGGCGGCTGATAAGAGGATCGGCGCGGCGGATCTCGTCGAGGAGGCGCGTGCGACGCGTTGAGTCATCGCCATGGTTGGTAAGGAGTCGACGCGTGAATACAGAAAGCGGAAGGGAAGAGGTTAACGGTGGGATCCGCTAATGCTGCTTCTGCCGGCAAAAAATGCTGACGGGTTCGACGAGTCTGTGGGATGAATTGGTGGCTCGGATGGTGGTGACGATTGGAACGGCGATTGCGACGGCGGCCGAAGTTGGGTGGGTGGTGGGCAAAAGGCGACAGCTTGAAGTACACATGATGCCCGACCAGTGCACGCGAGTTTGCCATGCACCGGATGGACACGCTGCCCCCGAACTCGAAACCCCTGCTTGCTGCACCCCATGTACAGGCACCTGGATGGCCTTCTACAGTGAACGCGGCTCGGCCTCCCCCCCACGTGCAGACCACAACAAGCAGTGCCGACCCATGTTTCCCCTTGTTTCTAGGCCAGGCGCCAACCTGACGAAACGAATGGACGAAATGAAAATGGTTTCGTAATTGCATTCGCCCACCTACCCCGCCACCTAGGCAAGTTTCAAGGTGCGTGTAACAGACATCTGGCCTGGTGCACGCTGCCACGTGTAAACCTCAATTGTGGGGTACAAGGCCACTAACATCCAGGCGTTGTTCGCCTAACCCACGTCAGAGTATAACTCTGGTGGTAACCCAACCACATGTATGAAATTGTAAGCAGGGTGCATGTAACGAATCATCACAACACAATTCAACCCCCGTCACCCTGAACGGGCCCCAGAGCAGGTTATCCGCGGTCCTAAACACAAGTTATAAACTGATGAGCAAATTCACAAGAGCATCAGTATCTCCCGCCTTAGCCTCCCACAATGCCTCGCCACCATCGCCGCGAGCAGCTTCCGCTATTCATCAAGCGCGCATTATGCGCGCATCACGTCGATTATCCCCTCCTGCGCCACGTCGATCTTGCACGCTGGGTTTACGCCCAGTATGGCCTGCGACCTGACCGCTCCACGGTCGGCCGCATCCTGAAGAATGCGGGCCGCTGGGCTCTGGAGGAACCCAACGCCCCCAATCAGGTGCGGCGCCGGGGCGGCGCATGGCCTGAGCTTGAGCAGGCCATGGCTCGCTGGATCGCAAACGCGGGCCCCGCGGGCGTGCCACTCACTCTGCAGACGATACGCGACCACGTGGCGACGATGGCGCGACGCATGGGCATTCCGCCCGCGTTCCGTTGCTCCATTGGCTGGGTCCGCCGTGCGTTGAGGCGCCAAGGAGTGCGGTGCCGTGCAGCCATCGGCGAGGCGGCGAGCGCCGACATGGCGGCTGTGCGTGAGGCGCGTGAGAAAGTGCCGCAGCTTCTGACTCACCTCGGTTACCAACCGCGCGACACTTTCAACTTTGACGAGACTGCGTTGTGGCTCTCTGTGCTGCCGCGTAAGACGTACAGCAACGCGCGCATTCCCGGGCGCAAGGTCTCGAAGGACCGCCTGACGGTGGCTTTTCTCGTCAACGCTGACGGGAGCCACGTCTTCCGGCCGTTGGTCATCAGCAAGGCGCGCCGTCCGCACGACTTCAGGCCGGACTACGACCCGGAAGCTCTGTGCTACTGGCGGCACAACGCGAAAGGCTGGATGACCAGCTCGGTAAGTCACAGGCGCCTGCGTGATTGCGCGCATTTACCCCCTTCCCCCCACACCCCCCCCTCACCGTCCCCGTCCACCCTCCCTCCACTCCCATCCAACAGTTGTTCACGCATTTCATATCGCAGCTCAATGCCGCGATGTATGCCGAGAGGAGGCACATCGCGGTGCTGCTCGACAATGCAAGCTCCCACATGCTGCGGGACGAGTGCGCTTGGAGCGAAATCGTCTGCGGCATGCGGACCACTTGCCTCAGCAATGTGCGCCTCGTCTTCCTGCCGCCTAACACAACCTCCTACACGCAGCCCCTCGACCAGGGCATGATCGCGACAGCGAAGGCCCGCTATCGACAGCACTGGCTGCAGGCCTTCACTGCACTGTGGAATGACGACGGCGCAACCAGTGCCGTCGCCCGCTGGCGCCCCAATCTTCGCGACGTGCTCGGTTGGCTCTCCGACGCCTGGATGAGCGTCGGAGCGCGCACCATCCAGAGGTGCTTCTGGCGCACGGGCTGCTTGCCTCTGTCGTGGTCGCTGGAACTCACGCATGTGCATGATGACGATCCCACCCCCCATGCTTACCCGGACATTGAGCTCGACGACGACATCGACAATGTCGGGGAGCTCATATGCGGGCTTGGGCTCGGCGCCGGCGCAATGACCGCCGCCGAGTACGTCGCCATCGACGAGGGCGAGCCGACGTGCGCGGAGGCGGCGGCAGGAACGTCTCCGGAAGATGCGGACGTGGGCCTGGTGGCGGAGCTATGGAGGGCGCCGACCACGATGCAGGCCGTGTATGACGACAACGACCCCATCGGCCGTGAGGCGCGGCGCACGGCACGGGCGGCCAGCGAGATGCTCATCGGCTACGCGCGCGCCGTGAACGTGACCCCGCGCGACCTGTGCCACCTGTTCGACATCCGGAATCCGGTCATCATTGAGCGCATGGAGCGTGCAAGCCCCGCGCTGGCTCTCAGCATGGCCCCGCCGCCCAGGCTTTCGACGAGCCCAACCCCGCCGGAGGAGGCCCAGCATCCGCGGGGCCGTGTGCTGCCTGGCTGGATGACCCAGCCGTCCCGCCGTCAGCAGCTTCTTGACGCCGGGGTTGGCGCCGCGATGGGCGGGTACGTGGAGGCGGCCGAGTGGATGTAGGTGTGAGCTGGAATTTCACAACACTTGATCAGGAGTCGAAGATGGGAGTCGGGGAGTTTTGTTGCAGGTGTAGTTTGATGAAATTGTGCACATAACGGGCACATTTGCAGTACAGGGGATGGTTTCTTGATGGGGGTTAATGCTGATGTGGCGGATTATGGTTGGTGCGTCATTGCCTGTCTGTTGTTTCAATCTAAGTTGAACAAAGGTTGTCATTGTTTCCAGGGTGTGTGTTGTTATCGTAAGGATTTTTGTAACACACGCTTGTGACAACTAGTGCCATCCGACACTGTTATATTAGAGACAAAATGTGTGGTTACCATATGCGCGATACATGCACGCGCAAAGCCTGACGAAACCCTCTACGAACCGACGAAATGCGGTTTTAGCTTACAGTCCCCCTTCACAAGGCAACCGGGAGGGGCTGTAACGAGCATCAGGTGTAGTGAACTTTGAATAAAATGCACGCAGCCCTCGGTTGGTACGGATAAGACGTATGTGGCGGTACTTATGACAACAAATAAGGTGCAACTAGAGTACAGCTGATGCTCACCCCATGCACGCGAATTTGCCTTGCGCCGGATAGATACGCTGCGCCCGAGGTTGTTTCCCCAGCCTCATGCACCTACATTACAAGCGCTTCGCGTGGTTATCAACCAATAGTAACGAACAGACCGAAGTCAAGCAGAATAGACTGAAGTCAAATATGGTAACAGATCTTGTATATAAGCACATGCGAATTCTATTTAGCTAGCTGCGAATTGACGAAATTTAGCGAAAACCTTAGTTAAAGCTTTTACACCCGTTTCACAAGGCACCCGGGAGAGGCTAAAACAGGCATCAGGTGTAGTAGATTCAGCACAGCAGCAACACCATTGCCAAGTTGGGAAGGTCCCACCAGTGGGCGAGTGTGCGACACACCACTGCCATTTCGTTTCACAGTGCGTGCGACACACGCCGTCGCCGAACCACACACAAAAAAAACACCAATGTGTCAGTCTCGAGTCGCAGGCGCGCTTCGAGCAGAAATTGGTGGGGCTTGACTGGTCGTAAACGTGTCGACGACGTGATGCGACGGACGGTGAATGGACGAGGCGCCTGTCATTGGCCAACGTCGTCGCAAAACTCGGTACCGAACTTGAACATCATCGCATGCGCCGCAATCGCAACGGAAAGGAAATTTCGTTGGAGCTTGTGCTGACGCCAGCTGGATGTTGCTGTCTGGCTCTGTGGAGAAATGTGTCGGTGCAATCGCATGCCCCTTGTGGGAGGAACGTGTGCATAAACTCGTTGACTGATCAAGGTTGGATTCTCGGGCGAAGTTCGTGCAGTAATGGCAAACCGTTAACCTAGCACGGAATAGGCTTGATGTGTGCCTGGGCTGGTGTTACAGCCAATAGGCACTGGTAGCTCACCCTGTGTGGCTGGTGGTGCTCTGGGGAGGGAGGTATGGAACTTGCGGCGCTAGTTGGGGCTTGCGGAGGCTAATTGAGGCTGGTTTTGTACCCGAGCTGAACTGTCAGGAAGATTCCAACCAGATTCGTGGCTGCTGAAGCTGACATGACCTGTGGCATGTCATAGGCTAGTTGGTGTCCGCTGAGGTTCGACAGAGGGCGTTACCTGAAGCATACAATACAAATTCTTTAACATACGTGTGGAACTCATAAACGTTACAGAAATTAATTATAAAATGGAGATGGTCTCACCCGTTGACATCCTGTAAATCCTATACATGATGGAAATCAAAGCAGCTTTCTCAATAACGCTTTGCACCTATTTTACGACAAAAACTCCTTCCACACAGATGTAACACTGACTGGCAGTTGAATACGAAGTGGTACATACTCGGCAGCAAGGCTGGGAAGGTTTAAAAAGGAGAGAGAGAGAGAGAGAGAGAGAGAGAGAGAGAGAGAGAGAGAGAGAGAGAGAGAGAGAGAGAGAGAGAGAGAGAGGGAGAGAGAGAGAGAGAGAGAGAGAGAGAGAGAGAGACTATAGCATGAGCAGTTTTTAAGGGTCAGATGGCCTCCAGGCTAATTCTCATGCCCTTTCTGTCACTGTTGATGCATTTGATGAAGCCTTGATACTAGGCGAACGAGGACTGTACAGAGCAGTAGCTGAATGGAAGCGAGTGGTCAGTGGCGGGAGATGAAGAACAGGAGGCGGGCACCTAGAAGGGCTGGGTGGCTCGGGCGCTTTATGGAAGGATGGTGCCCAGAATTTGTATTCCCATAGCTCTTTTGCAGGGAGGGAGGCTGTGAAGGGTCCAACTTGGAAGTGAATGTTTTTACCAGGAGGAGGGTCTGTTCTCACACTGCCAATAGGCAGCCACATGAGAAAGCGTTTGACCCTGATTCCCTGCACATTCAGGGTATACAGCATGAGGCGTGGGCCCTGGAACGTTGCAACAGTTGCAATCACATGTATGCTACGTACCTTGACATTGAATATGCCATTCTGACAGAGATCACCAGAGATGACTTTGTCAAACTTGATGTAGTGTCCCCCGAATTCCGCCATACTCTCGTTTTTTCCCTGAGTTGCAATGAATCTACCATCAGCAGAGTTGAAAGAGACGTCGGCCAGGCTCTCCATAGGTAGCAGGCCATGTGGAAGGTTATGCTCCTGCACATACAGTTGAGGTTGAAACAACTACCTTCAAAATCGAGAATCGTTTGAGCATAATTATGAAAATAATGCAGGATATGTTGGCAATTTCTTATAACGAGAGAATATACCTTCAGTATGGCGTGAGCAATTTGAAGCGGAGAGCAGCGCTCCACGGCTTTTGGGTCTCTGACCCCTGATACCGAGGAAGGGGTCGCTGGGGTCGTTGTGTCCCGAGGAGGCATTTTAAAGCGCAGCGCCGCTATCAACTTGAAACGACTAGGATGTCCTGGTGGCTGCTAACTGAGGAGTTAGCTATCGAGACTCGGTGAGCTTGCTGATTAGTAAGGTCCAGGCGGCCGCTAAAACATCCTCACGAGTTGCTGCTTTAAGAAGCGCAGCTTCATGAACATGGCAGGTTCGGAGCTCGATCACGGATCACTAGCAGTCTCGTGTGCCGAAGCCCTGAAAGCTGGCTTCTAGACCCCAACCCCGAAAAGCAGGAAATCCGACTCTGTTGAGCACAAAAGGTACTTGTCAGGAACCTCATTACCGTTTTGATCATTCGTTTTGACTGAAAGGCTTCAGCTACAGCGTCGCTGCGTCGGTTCCACATCTCCCGAGTGGAATCTTCCGAAGCTGCGTGACGATCGTACTCAAGCTGGCCTCTACTCAACATGCTGATAGATACTTCTCGATAGTGACGTCCCAACTGGACTACTAGCTGAATTGACAGCTCGCTGTCGCTTTTGTTGGATAGATTCGCAAGGCAATCTCGCCTTGACGTTACCGCGCTGCGTGTGGCCCTGGCAGGGATCAACACTCCCTCAGCTGTCACCATCATTGGATTTTCCAAATGACAAGCGAGAGGGAACGGAGCGTGAAGGGAGGGGCGTAAATATGTCCGGCAGATGGATCTTGGGCATGAAACGTATAGAATCATAAGGGGCACAAAACAGCATGAACTCTGGTAACGGGGTTGCTATCAGCAAGGATCACATTCGCCAATCAGTATGGGCCTTGTTTCGCCAATCATGGTGAAACCATCTCCCAGATATCTGGAACTAGGCAATTTTGCGGCGTCAGCAGGAGCTCGGGGTTGGAGGAGAACTTCACTTCAGCCATTCGAGATTGCCCATTGGCCAATAAAACCGTCTAAGGCGCAGCCAAATGTACTTTTGGCTGGGTGTATGCGAGGTGTTCGCTCGCAGAAGTCGCAGCTGCACAGTTTCAGCCAGACCTGTAACCCGGAAACCTGTCTCGATTGGGCTTGATAATTTGGTTTTGCGAACGAGAAGTTTGGAGTAACCAGGGAGCTCGAGATTTCGGGATTGATTGGAATTCTCTGACAGCCCAGCAAAAGTTTCAGCCTGGAGATTATAAGAGCCTAGGGATCATCAACTTCTCAGGAATCTCCTGATTGAAACTGGTGTTTTGTTCGCAGCAATAATCAGAGGCGAAACCATTGTTTCATAATCGTTCGCCTCTCATCAACTAGCTGCTTTCCGATTTCTGTGCCTTTCGAGGAAGGCTTATTCTCTGTCCCGTTTTACCTTTCCATCAACTCCTTCGTCAATCTTCATGGCAGCGCTTCTTCAGGTATTTTTGTTAACTTCTTTCTGTAATTTCCTTGTTAGATACTCGATAATGTTACTGTCGACGGAGAAGAAAACACATTCTGATCATCCTAAAACAAATTCTGATCATCCTTCTTAACTGTCATTCATTCCTTTCAGTCCGCATCATGCGTCGGCTTCGCCGCGAATCAGCTCAGCGGTCAGAAGCTCGCGTCACTCGCGTCGAACGCGTCGCCCAAGCAGCTGCGACGGCCGGCAACGGTGATTGAGGCAACGGCAGCACCGGCCGCCGTCGCACAGAAGGCGTCTGCGAAGAAGGGCGACGTCGCACGAGTCGGAGTGCTCGGAGCAAGCGGATATACCGGTGCTGAGGTGAGCATTCACAATCGTGTGTGATGAGATGATCCCTGAAGCGCATCAACATTCTCGGATGAATATGTTCATGCACATCACAGCAAGCCGGTACACTGGCGCTGAATTGAGCATGCACGTTCGTGTAATGAGGCGACCCCTCCGGCTCGTCAACTCTCTTCGCGACATATGTTTGAAGAAATTTCAGCAAGCAAATACCTTCACCGGCTGAATTCACAAGAATTTAGACGTTAAGAGAATGCTGACTTGGGATATAGTTTGCAAGTCAGTAGCACTTGCTGTTCTGGTAGCATTCGAATTCGCTGGATAGGTACAAATTCACCTTTTTATGCCTCCAAATGCGACGCATTTTCCACCTGACGTCGGGAAAGCGTCCTCTGAGATCACATTGCTGGCTGCTCTTCCGTTCCTCTGTTCCCTTATTCCCCTGTTCCTCCTTATCGTTCGTCTGCTGGCCTTGCATCCGTCGCTGCAAGTCACTCTCATGACGACAACTGGTCGCAATGCCAATCCTTTCGTCCTTCGTTTCTCCCTCCACCTGTGTCCCCTCCCTCGTGCATTTTTTCCCCCAGATCGTTCGTCTGCTGGCCGTGCATCCGTCGCTGCAAGTCACTGTCATGACGGCAGATCGCAAGGCCGGGCTGCCGCTCTCGTCCGTCTTCCCTCACCTCATCTCCCAGGTACAATATCACAGAGTAACATTTTCACAGAATATGTTGGGTGTTAGGATTTTTTACTGCAGCTTTTGTTGAATTGCGTGCGTGAGGATCTTCCGAGGCCTTGTGCTCTGGAATGTTCTCAAGCCTGGCGGGGAAGGTTCTCAAAATCCTCTTCCTGCTTCCTCTTACCCTCCCTCTTTAACACTCCCCTTCCACCCCGCTTCCGCTGTGGCAGACGCGGGTTTCACGCAAGTGGACTGTTATGCGCCTCGTGTGGCACAATTTGTTTTGCTCGTGTGCAATCTCTTCTTCCTCACTTCCATCCTTCTTCCCCTCCATGCCCCCCTCTCTCCCTCCCTCCCTCCCTCCCTCCCTCCCTCCCTCCCTTCCTCCAGGTCGATCTCCCCAACATGGTCGCCGTGGCAGATGCGGATTTCTCCCTGCTTTACTCTATCACTTATCCTTCGATTTGCCTCCCTGTCCGTGCCTCCCTGGCTCCCTCCCTCCCTTCCTCCAGGTCGATCTCCCCAACATGGTCGCCGTGGCAGATGCGGATTTTTCCCAGGTGGACGCGGTCTTCTGCTGCCTGCCGCACGGCACCACTCAGGTGTGTTTCAGGTGTCCAACCAGGTGGTTTCAGATGGCCGTTCTAGTGGGTCGCTCAGTGTGCCAGGTGCCCCCCCAGGTAACTTGTCTGTGCTGGATTCAAGGTTCAGCTTAGCCGAATCGAGCATGCAATTATGTTTGGTTTCCATTGTAGTGTTCATGATCATGTGAATCTGTGCAAGTCTGATACTGGGACTGGAACTGTCCAGCCTTCAATTCATGAAGGGCCTGATATCATTGCAGTTCTCCCGTCACGACTTGCTTGCAACGCAAGAGGGCTTCATCTTATTGCTTCATGACTTACTTTCTATGTTGGCAGGAAATTATTGCAGCGCTGCCCGAGCACCTGAAGATTGTGGATCTGTCTGCTGTAAGTGATGATTCCAAATATATTCACAAGCCTTAATATTTTGCATGACTCGTTACAGCCCCTCGTTCCCGGTCTAGATGCTTCACATGGTGCCACTCAGTCATGGCTCTTACATGTGCCTCTTCCCCTTGCTGCAAATGGTGCCATGTGCCATATTTGCAGGATTTCCGGTTGAGGGACGTGAACGAGTATGCACAGTGGTATGGCGGCGAGCACAGGGCGCCCAAGCTGCAGGTGAGGGGGTGTGCTGCCGCGCATGTGTGCTTGAGAGTCGAGTCGTAAGGGGAGAGGGACGTGAACGAGTATGCACAGTGGTATGGCGGCGAGCACAGGGCGCCCAAGCTGCAGGTGAGGGGGTGTGCTGCCGCGCATGTGCGCTCGAGAGTCGAGTCGTAAGGGGAGAGGGACGTGAACGAGTATGCACAGTGGTATGGCGGCGAGCACAGGGCGCCCAAGCTGCAGGTGAGGGGGTGTGCTGCCGCGCATGTGTGCTTGAGAGTCGAGTCGTAAGGGGAGAGGGACTTGAACGAGTATGCACAGTGGCATGGCGGCGAGCACAGGGCGCCCAAACTGCAGGTGAGGGGGGCGGGGCTCTGTGTGATTGACTTGAGAGAATGTTCAGAAGGGAGGAGAACGAATTTGCACGTGTATGCCCAGTGGAATGGCAGTGAGTACAGGGCCCCAACTACGTTGCCCTTACCATCCCACCTCTCTCTGTTATCTCACTTCTCCCTGTTACGCTGTGTGTGTGTGTGTGTGTGTGTGTGTGTGTGTGTGTGTGTGTGTGTGTGTGTGTGTGTGTGTTTGAGTGTGTGTCCTCTCACCAGGAAGAGGCGGTGTATGGGTTGACTGAGATCTACAGAGACGCAGTGAAGGCTGCCCGCCTGGTGAGTCAACACTGGAACTCGTATCTGCGTTCGCCAGGAAAATAGACGATTTATTAGGTTTTTTCATTCCGTTCTTTCATTCCGCGCCTCAGAGCTCTCTTTCCGCCTCTCCATTCTTTCTTTGCTTCCCCTCACAGGTGGCCAATCCCGGATGCTATCCCACGTCCGTGCAGCTCCCTCTCATCCCCCTTCTTCAGGTATAGCACGATGAAGCTCCCGCTCATGCCTGATGCCATTTCATGCCTCATCCAGCAAATGTGCACCGTCTCATGCGTCAGGTGTGATATGCCTTATTATTCCAGCACCCGATCATCCTTTATCATCGACGGTTTCCTCATGCCTGATGCCTCATTTATCAACCTCTTCGTTAGGTATGGTCTTGACTGTTTCCTCCTGCCCACGTGGCTTGCCAACCCACACAACCGTGCTCCTCTGGAAGGAT